ATGAGGCCATTAGGAGCCAGAGATGAATACATTGAAATGAAAATGAACACTTCTAACTGCTAGTTGACCTTCGTTTTGTAGCAGTTTTTATTAGACTGGTCATGGTAATTACTGGGACGTGAATCATGGAGAAAAGTGAATAATTCTGTAATGAACATTTTTATTCATTATCTCACATTTTCAGGAAGCGGGGAAGTCTCCTGTAAGAGGACCGGCAGACGCTCTTCCCCCCTTTGTTTGTTTTTCGACAAATAATGGTTTGTGGACAATAGCCCAGTGCAAAACATCATTCCACCAGGCGAATTTGTGTCATGCTAAATTGATGGGCCAGTGGTGTTCAATATGCAGCGTACCGACTTTCATAGTACACTCAGGGAGACATAGCTGTTTGCAAATTGAACAGGAAAAGTACAGGCAAACAGAAGACAGGCTAGTTGCACAGATTCAGAGGCAGGATGTGCCATGTTTATTAAAACAGGGTTTTCACATTACAAGATTCAGGTACGTTAGGTACATGAGGAGAATCGATCCTCGAAGGTCACTTGGAATCTTATGGAACAGTGCTTTACTTTCACTGTAGTCTCATCAGTTGGATAAAGTGAAATGTTTGTGGTAATTAATTTACAGGTAAGCACCCGCCTTTGCTCTCTGTGAGGAAATATTTGCTAGAAATGCCTTTGTTAATGCATCTCCAGTAAGCTGTGTGTGGCATGATATGGTGTCGTGACATTTCTCTGTGAATGTTTCCTACTTAGAGGACGAATTAACATAAGCTGTCTCTCCTTTCTTCGTGGAAGTAACGGTGAGGCAATAATATACGTGTGCGGGAGAATAACGTTAAAAACAAAACAAAAGCAACCCTAAATCAAGGTGGGATGGTGAAGCTTTTAAGTGAAATTAAGTTAAACAAGAATTTAAAAAAAAACAACAAAAACCTAAGGTCATCTGTGGAACAGATATGAAATTCTTAAGGAAACTCTGTTGACCTATGGAACTCATTGTGGCAGGATACGGTGAAGCTTAAGAATGGATATTTTTCTCTAAAAGAAACAACAGTGACACAGAGCAACCTTTTATATTAAGTTGGGAGGAACTGAATTGCAACTAAATCATGTTCCCTCTTGCTATATTTTCCATGGAACATACAAATAATAATAGCTGGGGTCGGGGAATGAACTAGTTGTGCTTATATCCAGAATTTAAATGTTGGTCGCTTTTCAAATTTTGTACACTGCCCCTGGAAGCATTTCATTCCCCACTTGTCCTAACATCCTACCATAATGCCGTCGATACTCCATGGTTGAGACCACAGGAGCCTAAAGAGATGTATTCTCTGTAGTTCCCACTATGAAACTACTTCCCTTTAATGAACCTCCAGTGAGCAGGTATTGTCAGACCTATCTATCGTTGCTGGTTTGGAAGAATGCCGATAGCTTCATATTTCAGTTTGATTTAATTTATTTTGTAACGATTTAATGGCTTGCCATCTACTTATAGCCAGCCCAGGCCTTTGGGACGGGTCAAGCTGCATACATTTAAGAGCAACTGTTGAAAAGCTATAAATTGCCAAATACATAAAATAAATTTGAATGAATAAAATAAAATACAATACTGGAAATGAGCCACTTTTACTAGACTTCCTGACAAGCTGCAATTGAGATGAGAAATCTTCCCCTGCTTGCTATTTTAAAAGTTGATAAGTTTTTTAAAAGTCCCCCAGGCATGTCTCCCTCACCTGTGGGCATGATAATCCTAACTAATATTAGGAAAGTGCCCCAAGGAATATCCATGTTAATTACATACAATTATGGTTATTGTATAATACAGGCGTATAAGCATGAATTGCTGGAGATGTGATTCAGTTCTTAGCCTGAACATCTTTTGGAAGCCGTGTAAAAGCTACCTATTTGGATTGGCTTTTGGGTATGAGGATTTAAATGTGGGAAAGGATGCATCCATTTCAACGAATTTGATTACATTTTATTCTGTTCCACTGGAGGGCAGAGTGTTGTTTAGTTTTGACTGTTGTTACCTGCCTTCAGGACCCGGGTGGGCTGCAAATCTAAAATAAAGAAATAAATGTACCAGTTCTGATCCAGAAATAATCCTGTATCTGTTGCAAGTGTTATATAGGTACACTGCAGACTTGCAATTCAGAACTGAAAAAGCCAAGCAGATGTTTATTTCTGAAAGCGCATTGAATGATTTAGCCTTTGACATTCCAATTTGGAGAGTGATTAGAATGAACTCTTCAGATTACCAATCTGCCCTTCTGATCTATCTGCCTTGCCTCTCATCTAGCTCAGCAGCAAGTCTTTTGGTTAAGTTTTTAGTGATCATTCCCTTCCTCACCCAACCACAGCAAAAGTCTGTACCATGCAAAAAGCAAAACTAATAAAACTGGTTCTAGAACCTGCGTATCTGCATTTATTTCAAATAAGATTTATCTACACTTTTTTTTAAAAAAAGGCACAGCTTTATTCTGTGCTGCAGCTTTAGCAGTTGTAGTACAAAATAGTGGGTATGCCCTACAGGTAAAGTTTATTTCTTGTATTAGCAAACAAGTTTGCATGCCTTACTTGCCGCAAAAAGTTTACCCGCTTGGGAAACAACTTCCTGGCTTCTGGCTTCGGATGACGTGTATAAAAGTCTGTTGGTAGCCTTGCCTCCAGATGTGACTGAATCACAGCTCCCATCATCCCTGACCATTGGTGATGCTAGCTGGACCTGATGGGAGGCAGAATCCAGGAACATTTGGAGAGCCACAGGTTTTCACACCCTTGGTCTAAGTCACCTGTTTTGCCCAGATGGTGCAGCTCTATAGAGAAGGTATCAGGACCTAGCAGAAGTAGAAGAAGAGAATTTGCTAATATTTTCTTACAGGGGAAAGTAGCACATTACTCTTTCTTTGATAGTTGTTAGACTGGGTGAGGCAGCTGTCCCGGGCAGCTGATTTCTGCTTTCAAGAAAGAGCAGTAAAAGTGCTCTTGGGATTTTCTGGTGCGAAAATAATTTTGACAGCTTTGGGTACCGTGCACCTTCACTCAGGGGTGGGCAGCAGGGCATATGCAATTCTGCCTCAGGCAACAAAATTTCTTGTGTTGGTGTAAACCAGGGGTCAGCAACCTTTTGTAACTGTGGGCTGGTCCACCATCCCTCAGACCATGTGGTGGGCCGGACAATATTTTGAAAAAAAATAATGAACAAATTCCTATGCCCCACAAATAACCCAGAGATGCATTTTAAATAAAAGCACACATTCTACTAATGAAAAATTCACTGATTCCCAGACGTCCATGGGCCGGATTTAGAAGGCAGTTGGGCTGCATCTGGCCCCCGGGCCTTAGGTTGCCTACCCCTGGTGTAAACTAATAAAATTATTGGCCTGCAAAGGTTGCCGAAGGCCTCTTTGCAAATGCAGTTTGGTTCTGGCTGCACTGCACAAATTAGGCCTGTCTCCTCTGCTCTGCCACTGTTTAATACTGGAACTCAACATGTAGATGGATCTCCTTTCTCCTTTACTGCTACCCAGCAGTGACATCCAAGCATCATAATGTACCATCGCAGAAGCTATGCATAGCTCCTCTCCTATAAATCTTAGCATGATCTTCTTGCTAACCAGACACGGCTTCTGTAAGTGCAGTTGGCAGGCTAGTTGATGGGTAGCAATTGAGTTGAAACTGGGGGTTCGGGGAATGAAATCAAAGTACTAGGTTTACAATATCAGCTTTGTCCCTGGCATTGCTTGGAAATTCTAAGAAACCAAGAAATCAGTGCAGTTTTTAAAGATTCAATCTGCTCTCTTCATTCAAAGGGGTACCCAGTTGTGTCCAAACCTGGACAAAAACCTCCTCATTGATCTCCTGAACCACCATGCCAGATTTGGTAAGGATATTTTAAGAGGTGACCAGATGCATAGACCAACAACTTTCCAAAGTGTATAGCAGAAGAAAGCATCCACAATGCTTGAGATGTAGAACAGGCCAGATATAAGTAAAGGAAAGTATGTTTGGTCTCCTATTCCTATGGTTAACTGAAACTGTCTTCCTGGGAGCATCTGTTGTGTACCAGGTTAGAATATGACATGTGCCTAGAGAGAAATTATTGGTGTTCAACCAAAAACTGAGAAACTTAGACCCAGGTTGGGCAACTATAACTTCAGATGCATGTATTCATCATGGGGGACTGAAGTGGTGGTAGCATGGGCGGTGGGGGTAGGGTGGGTGTAGCCAGACAAGAAGTGCAATTAGATATACACCAGTATCTTGTTACCTCTGAAGGAGAAGACCAGAGAGGAATCTGTATGTAAAAGCTAAACTAGAAAGTTGGTGAACAAAGGGCTAAGTTCATTGGATGTCTAGGAGGGGAGACTCCATAGTTATCCAGCTATTACGAATCAGGGGAGGACTTTGGGCTACTGAAATAGGACTAGCTGTTTTAAGAAATGGTTTTGCAGATTACTCTGTGCTGTTGTATGGTACACACAGGAGGGGACATGCAGAAGGTGTCCCTGACATTATTAGTGATTCTGGAGTTCTAACTCTTGGAGCCAGGAGTGGTGGTGGTGGTGAAATCTAATGGATAGAATTTGAGCATGTCTCCATGTGTGTGGAGAGAGGCAGGAACTGGAGGTAGGATATGAAGGAAGCGAGAAGTGGAGTTTGTTACCGATAAGCCAATTGGGTGATGCTTCTACTCTGACAATGGATACCAACTTGCTGCATATGATAGGCAAACTCATGCACGGATAAAGTGTAATTTGCAAACATTCTGTTTACTGCCAGAATGTGGGGTGGTGGGAAGGATTACAACTCATAAGTGAAGCACAGGTGTATCTGAAAACAGATGTAAGCCTCTCTGGTTGAATCCTGCTCACCTAAATGATTAGCGGCAAAGCGATCATGTGCTGGAACTTTGAAACCCTTCTTCTGTCTGGTTGCTTGGTTACAGTTTCACTTGTCATGTATTCCATTAGAAAAGAGGGGGGGGGCTGAGGAGAAGATTGGATGTGCTGTTGAAAATGCAATGAGCCTATTCGATCATATCTAATTCCCATTCATATTACTGTGGACAACGCTACTGTCCAGCTGCCCTCTTGCATGGCTCAGATTTATATATATTTGGGACGTGAGTGAAGATGGGAGGTGGGGGGAACCGAGCCAGAATTTTCCTCCCAGCCTCCTCCATCATTTATAATCTTCTAGTTTTTAATTGTTTTCCTGCTTCTTGTGAGATGTTTATCTGGGAGGACTTGCAGGCAACAGCACCGGCATAAGACATGGTAACTAGCAATCGCATGCTACTTTGGCAGATGCAATTTTTTAGAATGGGCGGGGGGGGGGGAGAGAGAGAGAGAGAGACATACTCACAAAAATATCCAAGTGATGACAAATACCTTGCCATTATATCAGGTCGCAATGCATAAATAAGCCCATTGCTGGTGACTGTGATTATATTCCTGTAGCCTTACCTCACATTTTTCACAGTTATGTTGCAAGACCATTAGTTGGTTTCTCTCCCCCCCCCCCCGCACCCACCCCTTGGCTGCTAGTCTTTTCATTTACTGACTTAACTCAACAGAAATGGGGGTGGAGTGGGTCAGAAAAAAAGCATGTCCCCCACAAAAGTGAAGATACTTCTTCACAGTTCCTTCCCTGAATTGTCTGGATGCAGGCCCATTGTGGTCTTATTCTGCCTCCAGTTGGGCACCTTTGAAAAGTTTGTGTGTTAACTCTGTGATGGTTTCTCTTGATTTAACTATATGTAGTCACAGATGCCTCTGTCTGAAGCTGGAGAGGGGCTCTGTAACTTTCCTGTCGTGCTTCAACTGGATATAATCCCATCTAATCCCATTTATATTCCTGCAGGTGAGAAGATATTTGAAAGGGAGGAGCTAGTCTCTCCCCCCCCCCCCAGGGACATTGCTTTGGTCATTGATATTTGGACATTGATGTTTCAGTCGCCATTGTCCTTTGCCCCACCTGCCAGTCGTCGTTTTAATTTTTCAGATATTCTAAGTGCTTGAGCAAATGTTTTCAAAACAGAACTACGTTGTAGTTCTGCAATCACAAACAGAGCACACGGGGGCACAGCAGAAGCTTTGGGGATGGGAAGAGTGGGCACAACACAGAGTTTTCTCACGTCTGTTTAGTGCTGGGGGGGGGCAGGCGGCCTATATTTTTGCTTATGAGGCAACAGCTACAGACAAGGATAGGATTGGATTTATAGAAGTTGTAGGTTTTTACAAGCAACCCTTTGAGGTAGGTCACATATTTCCATAGGACGGGTTTCCCCAAACTTGGGTCTCCAGCTGATTTTGGACTACAATTCCCACCATCCCTGACCACGGGTTCTGCTAACTAGGGATGATGGGAGTTGTAGCCCCAAGACAGCTGGAGACCCAGGTTTGGGAAACTCTGCTTTAGGGAATTAAGGCCTTGATCCTCACGAGACCAAAGTAACCGCAGGAGCCTACCTAAATCTGCATCTTGCCATTGGACCCCTTGATTCTAGCTTTGAATTTCTCAGAGTAATCCCATTTTATATAATGCATCCATTACCCTTGCAGAAAAAACTCATCTTGCAATATGATGGTATAAGCTAATACTGTATTGCCAAAGTGTAGTTGGAATAATGATAACTACTGTATAATAATTGCTAGAATTTCAGTTTTTCAAAAATACTTGGGTGGGGTGGGGGGGAAATCAATCCAAAATGTTTACAGACCGTGCAGGTGTTAGGTGTTCAGTTTTAAATGACATGCGCCAGCCTTTCTGTCAGGGTTTTGCTTTTTATTGACACAAAAATTCAAATCTTTGAATCTGTATTATGTCATCACAATTTGAGTATGTAACGAAACACTGAACTAACTGTATATCCCTGGCACTTTGGTCTGTACCAATAGAACAAATTTTAACAGTGAACTAGAGCTAACCAGTTCTCGTTTATGATAGGGCTGCCATATTTCAAAAAGCGAAAATCCGGACAGAAAAGTTGTTAAGATTTTTTTTTTTTTTGCCAAAGTTTTGGAGCAATTTCTGATCGGAATCAGCAAAAACAACACTGCCTACATGGGCTGCCATACATCTGGATTTTCCTGGACATTTTGCTGATTTCTGCCCGGGCACCACTTCCGGCTGCTGTATTCCAGATATGTCCCGGAAATTCTGGACTTAATGGCGACCCTATAACAGATTGAATCGGAGATATGTCAGTACATCCCTAATTCTTGTTTGAGTGATTGGCTTGGGCTGAGTTATCACCTCTTGGAGTTTTTTTTTACCTGCCAAGCCTAGCCACTTCTTATTTTTGAAATGTATAATTTTTATTTATTTTTAAACCACAGCCCCTTAAATTTAACCGTTTTTATGCTTTTAGAGAAAAACACAGCTACTTCTCTATTATTGCTTCATTCTCAGATGCAACATCTTGTTCTTCTCAGAGGGAGGGAGGACCATATAGATTTCAGCAAGGTGCAATATTTTTTGCATAGGGAAAAAAGTATATTTTTACTGGCCTCCACCTTTGCCTCTGTTGGGTAGAGCACCCTTCCACATGAATTCCCACTGAAGCCAGCCTGAGGGCATGTCATAGATTCAGTCCTTGAGTGGGTGATTTAATTCCAAGAATTCTGATCTGGCCCTTAGTAAGAAGTTAGGATTTGGCTGTATAACCCTTGCTAGCTTTGTTAAGAGGAAATGTATGAAACCCTTCTGTAGAACCAGCCCTCCAGATCTACCCCTTCTGCTGACAATCGTATCAGTCCTTCAAGTCCTTTGGACCCAATCTAATATAAATAGAATTTTCACCATGCAAATCGTATTACCTAAACTGCCAATGAAACTAATGGGATTTGGAGTGGGTGGAAGAAGAAAAAAAATACTCTGCAATGCAATGCACAGTTTGGAATATAAAATTAAAGGAAACGAACCACTACAGCATGTGCTCAGTTGTTGTGATTAGTGTTGTCATCTGGCCCGTTTTTAAACCAGCCTGACCACTTTTTTTTTTTTAAAAAAAGCTTAGCTGCTGTGCTAAGCAGCGGGCCATTATATGCTTGCATACATTTGCATGAATTAACGTATGAAGGTGAACTGCTGGGCAGTTTTGGTTTCCCTGGAGAGAAGCAACAGACCAACTTGGGCCCTACGAGCAATTCTGCAGTGCCAAGTGCCTTTTCAGATCCCATTTTTTCTCAGTGGGGTAAGAGGGCAAAGAAGCAATGTTCTTCACATGAGCCGATCTCCAACGCATCAGCAAGAGTTGCCCATTCAAAATGCATTTAAACATGGGGTGGGCGGAAGGGGGAGAACTACCTCCCACATCCCCCAAGATTCCATTTCAGGGCCAGACTTATTGTAGAATTCCCACCACACACACAACAGGAAACCTCTTTGCCACAGAGGGCTAGCAGAAAGTATTAGGGACACGGGATGCAGTAGGATGTGTTTTGATACCGTATTTGCTCGAGTGCAATGCACACCTTTTTCGTCCAAATTGGGGTGCACATTAGATTTGATGCCGCATTTACATTCGCCAGCAAATACTTTTTTGGTTTCAAGGTTTTGAAAATTGAGATTCAACCGCGCATTAGATTTGCGTAAGTACGGTAATTGCTAGATCCAAAATGGCCAAACCTATTTATATAAAACATGGGTTTTAAGAGACATAAATAAGAGAGTAGCTCCAGGCTGCCAACCTGTGTGGCATGCCTGGGCCTGAGGACATTGAAGGCAGATGGATTTTGAACTTGAACTCTGGGAAAAGCAAGGCTAGTGAGCGATCTTTTAGCTGTTATAAGTGCTTAAAAAAATGGTTGCTGTACAGGGCATGAGAAAAAGGCCGGAGAGCCCATTTGCAAGACTACATTGTGTGACAATAGACAGGGAGAACGAATCCTTTACAGAATCTGGCTGCATGGCAAGCCATTCAATGAGTGCACCTCTACAGAGCCAGTTTGGTTTCTTCCTGCTGCCCTGCCCATCTGACTGGGTTGTCCCAGCCACTGGGCAGCTTCCAACATACATAAAACATAATAAAACATTAAAATTTTCCCTGTACAGGGCTGCCTTCAGATTTCTTCTTCTCCTAGGCTGGGGAGTTACATAACACTATACCCCCCAACATTTCTCCCGGCGAAAATTGGGACATCGTAAGGAAAAGCAGGACATTCCAGGATAAAATCAGAAACCAAGAAGATTTCTGTAAATCCAGGATAGTCCCTGGAAAACAGGAATCTTTGGAGAGTTGTGGGACACAAGCCATTTCATATCCTACCAGTGGGAAAGCCATATCACATTTATGGTTGCCACTTGTATGGTTGCCTGAATCAAAATAAAACTTGCATCGTTTTACTGGGAATGCTGCCTCTGAGTGGATGGGCCAGGGTAGGATTATTGCTTGAATCGTTTATTAACCACTTTTACATTTTGATAACAATTTTCCATTTAGACCTACAGTGAAAGGAGAATGAATAATTCTTTTCCAGTTTTTTTGTTTTTTTTTAAAGAACACTTCAGAAAAAGCGAACGGAGGAAAGAACAGGAGGTCACAAAAGAAACAACTGAAATCTGTTGTTCATGTGTAGGGTTTTGTGGAGCTGATGATTATTCTTCCCAAAGAAAATAATGTCCTTTTTATTTGCTTTTAACATTTTGCCCTTGGCATCTGTTCCATCCATTGTGGACTAACCTAGACTGTGTTCTGACAATGGGTTAAAGTGAGCACTTATTGAAAAGTGTTCTGTACTTAATTACTTTTCCTTCTTCTGGAAGCTTTTCTCCCTTTTTTTTCATAATCACATGTTAATTGTGTATTAGCAGGGCCTTCTTGATTAGTTGAAAACATAATGAAACCTTTGTAAACAAGGGGGAGAGAGAGAGAGAGAAGTAGATATAATAAAAAGGCAAACATAAGAGGTGGGAAGGGAGAATGGCTCTGATGGGGAGCTTTCTATCAGTAATGTTGGGTCTTAGGGCAAAATAAACTACATGCTACAAGAAACACAACATTGCCGCTGAAAGCAGAAGTCCTGTGTCGGGATCAGCCCTGGATAGCACCTATTTATTATTTCAATGTTTGTTTAAGAAGCTTAAACCTCTTTAAATTATCTAGGCAGCTTGCACCTATTTTTTTAAGAGAGTTAATAACTATATTAAAACATCATAAAAGATCCAGGAAATAAAAACAGCTAATAGCAGCAGTTGAGACAGCGAGGAAGCAACCCCAAGTCCTAGCTGGGGAGCAGGAGAGCTGAAAGCATCTGTAGAGTCACTATTGCACCTGAAGCCCCATCACTCGTGTCACCCAGGGCAGGGGGAATTGCTATCTCCCGTCCCCACAGAATTTTTGTTGAGTCGGTTCTAGGTTGGCGCAGCAGAGAGGCCCAGGTCAGACCCCTCTCAAAAGATGATTGGCCTCGCCTGGCCCCATTTTAGACATTAACACCACTGGTGGTACCACCACTGGTGGTACAACAGCCTACATTGTCCATGGGCATAACAGGGGCCATTCTCCTGCATAGCCAGACACAAAGTAGAAGCTCGAAGTCACTCCACCAGCACAGAACAGGGGATAGGGCTGCTCTGTCAAAACGGAAGAAGAAACCTTAAGCAGCAGTTAGCATGGCACCTAAAATTCATCAGGCTAGGTGCCATGTAGAAAATGGCAGGGCCATTCAGGGTGATGATTTCAAGTCGCACACGGGTTACACATTATGCTGTGTTTTCCTCTCCCACCCTGTACCCGGGGTAGTAAAAAAAACGACCCTGATGTCATGGTCATTCCCATGGTGCAAATGGAAATGACTTGTTTTCTAGTGTGATAGATAGATAGATAGATAGATAGATAGATAGATAGATATAACCAGCAGTGCAGATTTTCCAGCAGCATTATAGTTGATATAGCAAGGTGGAATAGAATGGAGGGAGATGTGATCTAGCTGCCACCTTCTAAAGAGTTCATTTTCTCCCTGACATTCCCTCAGCTCTGTGAGGCACATGGCAGTAGCTAGAGCCAGGGCCTTTTCTGTAGTGGCACCCATTCTGTGGAATTAATTATTTAATTCATAAAATGTATATACTGCTTGATTGTAGGGAAAAACCCCCTCAAAGCGGTTTACAAAAAAGGATTTAAAAAAATGTTTTAAAATGTTTAACCATTATTTAGAACATGCGGAAAGTTAAAGCCACAATAAAATAGACTAAAACAAATTAAAACTCACACAGACTTTCCAAGTGAGCTACGTTTTTATAAGAATGCCTTTGGCTGAGTATCTCTTTGTGTTCTGGTGGCTACTTGGCTGCTATGAAATTGTTTTTTTGGGGGGGTGGTATGTGATTTTTTTTCAACGTTATGATTTGGTTTGGAATTACAGACACTCCGCTATCTTATTGTTGCTGTCATTTTAATTTGTGGATACATTTTGAAAATTAGGTGAAATGTTAGGGGTTTTTATTTTCAGAAACGTGTTAATTAAATAAAGGAAATTGTTATCATCTTGGAAATGTTGCAGGCAAATGACTGGCGCTCGTGAATCTCACTGAAGGGGAAGATGCACAGGGGACCCCTTTGGACATTATACCTGAAACATCAATTGGTATCACTTGGATATTGACTGTCCTGGCTTCCTCGTAATTGTCAAAACCTTGAATGCACATGTGCTGTTGGTATGGGAGATTGTAGGTGTCTTTAGACTTCCAGTAGTGAAAGTCTCCTTTACTTCAACTCAGTATCTCAGTTCATGATTTAAAATGCTCTCACCTACCCTCCCTTAACTTCACCTTCCAGATATATTGTGACTAGATGGCTCTCAACCAGCAGGGAGGTCTTTCTGCAAGGTTGCCCAAAAGTTGTAGGTGCTATTTGTGATTTATGACCTTGGAGCCTGTCTAGTTTAACCTGCCTGTTCAGTGCAATGCAGGGTGAAATTTCAGCACCCCTGAGAGATGGGGGCACCCACCCACTGTTTTGAACATTTCCGGCGAAGAAAATCCCACTGGCTCTCAAAGCCGTCTTTTCCACTGTCAAATAGCTCTTCCCTTTTAGGGAATTTCTCCTGATGAAGAAGCGAAACCTGCTTCCTTGCTATTTCCTCCCATTGGTTGTAGTCCTGCCCCCAAGAACAACAGAGAACAGAAATAATTTTGGAAATCAGAAATCAGGACAGCTGAAAAATCTTCCGTCACTACTCCTCTGTGAAAGTGTTACAATCTGTAGACTGTAGTATACTGCAATTTAGCTTTTGTTTCCCAGATACTTTGAGATTCATGGATTTTCCTACAGATGTTTATATTTCTGTACATTTAACAATGCTCCCCCCCCCCCCGACTTTTTCTGTTGAGTCTGAACAAGATGCATCTTTCAGTTGCTATATTTCAGCCATGAGTATTATCCCACCAATTTCAGTGATACGTATCAGATCACATTTACCTCCCTCCATTATTGCATTTAACAATATTCATAAACTGCCTACTTAAAACAAACAAACAAACCTCCAAACATTTTATGTAAGATCAACAGACATTAGAAACAAGTAGACCTAATAAAATCAACAGTTTAAGAACCGATATACATAATAAATTGCTTCCTTTTATACAAAAAGAAGCTTTAGCAGGTTTTGAAAACAGTAAATTGAAGGTGTCTTGTTAATATTAATTAATAAGACTTAGCATTCACCCTGTTTTTTATTTATTTTTTTATTATTATTATTATTATTATTATTATTATTAGTTTATATCCTGCCTTTCCCCCGGTAGGAACTCAAGGCAGCTTCACAGCTAAAACATAGGGAATAAATCATTAAAGAAAAACTAAACATTAATAGCATTAAAACTCTCTCCCTCTCTCTCTCTCCACACACACACACACACACACACACACGTGTCACACCAATCTCGAAGCAGGGTGGGATTTCAGGGGTAACACCTGCTTTACCCAGAGTTCATGCTTCGTTTCGGAAATGTGCCACAGCGGAGTCCATGGTGTATTTATGATATACGGTTAAAACTTATATACAACCTGAGCCTATGATGAAGGGGGTCTAAATTCTCTAGGGAGGGACTTCCAGAGTCTGGGAGCAAGCCACCCTAGAAGCCCTCTGTTCGTTTCCCATACTTCACGTGTTAGTATATTAGAATATTGTGAAAGGGACCCCTGATCAGCTCAGGGTTCCTGATGGTGAGGAAGGGTCCTATATGTCCTACAAGGGTCCTATATAGTCCTACACTATATGCAGACACTATATATTTGCTCCTAGGGCCCTTCTCACTTGGCTGAAGGCTTCCAAGGGGTTGAGTCATGGGTGAGTATAGCCACCAGGCATGACCTGCTTCCCACCCACATTCATGGAGTATCAAGGTGCTTGTCGCGAGCATCTCTAAATGCTGAGATTAATCATGGTGCCTTTGCTCTTAGCTTCCCTTTCTAACATTACTCATCTGCTCTGCCTTTCCTACTGGGTGGCAGCCAGTGATGCAGAATGACATCGCAACTTGAATATGTATTATTAGATGTTAAAGAAGGGGAAGCTTGGAGACAGCAGCATTGGTTTCTCCTTTTAGTTTGAGCTTCTACATGGTAAGATAGATGATAGATGAGAGAGAGAGACAAGGAAGACTTGCACTGTGCTTTTATATATGCTGGAAGCCAGCCAGATGGACAGGGTACAAATTAATAATAATAATAATAATAATAATAATAATAATAATAATAATGCTAACTGGTACCTAGCATCTTCAGTTCAAGTGACTCAGGAGAATCAGAGTCTTTGATGCACATCCCTCTTCTCTCCTCATTTAAAAGAAGAGGAAAAGTTATTGTCTTAAGAGTTTTATTTTTAATTAACTAAAGAAATAAATTTTACAATCCACGCTTCCGTTAAATATATATCCAGGCGACTTACAAAAATAAAATAAACATCCATGAAAAATAATTAAAAGTGCCATTAAAGCACCACCAGGATGCTGGCTGGTTAGAAAGGGAACAGAGCTCTGTGTGATAAAGCAGGCCTCTCCCAGCTGTGCCTTTCTTCTGCTGCTGTAGAGAGACGATGCTCAGAGAGATTTCGTGCTCTTGCGTCTCTCTCCCTGTGTGTTATTAGCAAACGGGCGGCTGGGACACTTAAAAATGGGAGAGCTACTGTACGGAAGAGCAATATCCACTGTAAGCACTCCAAGGGAAGCCTGCCAAGGCAGCATGTGAACAGCAGCCAAACAAAACACAGGCGCCTTTCCAGTGAAAACCAGCACACTTCTGCAAATAGAGGAAAAATTGACTTTCTGATTTGGAGTGTTTCTACAACTCAGAAGCAGTGCTACAGGAATTGTTCTAAAAATAATTTCAGGCAGTGCATTCTTTGAGGGTTTGAGATGCTTGCTGCTCTTTCATCATGCTTTCCTTGCAGTGATTAACTACAGTAATAACAAAGTAAAATTTGCAGAGGTGTTTTTTTAAATTATTATTTATAAAAAGAAACTCTGTCTCTCCAGCTCCCGTGGTGGGGCAATTTTAAAATGCCTCTGTGAAAAAGTAAAAGGGGTGAGTCTCTCTCCCCTTTTCGCTGGAAGTGTATTTGTGTCTGAAATCTATTTTGTATGCATGCTTGCATAATTCACAGTTATTATTTGTTGCTATTAATACGGTGCTTGCCAGTATGCATGACAAGGAACAGAGTTAGACAGGCAAAAAATAAATAAATTGATAGGTCCCTGCTCTCAAGGACATTACAATCAACAAAAGACAACGTAACAAAAATGCAGTGTGGCGCAGTAATAGTTAAAGTTTGTTTTTATTTAGGAATGAGTTTGGTTAAAGCTGGGAGTGAGAGTTAAGGGGTAACCCAAAAGCCATGGAATGTGGGGTTTTGATCCTGCATATATTGAAGACAGGTGTTTCATACACTGAGACAGCAATGGAATATATTAAAAAGCATTCCCCATATTTTGGTGTCTACCATATTTGGTATCCCCATATTTTGGTATCTACAACCATACATTTGAAGCATGAACATAATCATTCTTAAATGTCCCTGGAACTGCCAAGCAGGGCTGGGAAATATCCTTAAGAGCCAGTCAGTGTTGCTAATATTTAGCTAGACTACCCAATGATCTGACTCATTTTAAGGCACTTTCCTATCTGGTTTGAGACCCATTGAAACCTGTGGGGCTTCAGTCTTGCAGGACAACTGTGGGCAGGACGTCGACTTGGCTGTTTTTGCATTCTACACTGTTCTTTCACCTCTGCCTGGGAATCTTCCTTTGCAAGAGGCACGTTAACTATAAGACGCAACTGTAGGCTTTCTGACTCTCAGATCATTTCCTTAATGATGGAGAATGTCTGGGATTCCACTCTTTTCCTCCCTAATACCCAGAATAAATAATATGTGTTGTTGTTGTTTTTTTTTAAATGCTCTTTTGCTAGTTTCAGCCACAATTCACATGAGGAAGGCTTAATAAGAGGGGCTTAGGAGCGCTGTCCGTTTATCTAAAATGGAGGAAAAGAAAGAGGGACGCTGAGAGTATTATTTTTCCCCTCTGAATATAATAGTGTGGTTGGAGAAGGCAGCGAAATCCCCTGAAGCCTAATTTCAACAGATCTCTTTCTCTCTCTTTTTTCTGTATTTCAGTCAGCATGTTTACTGAGTTTAAATATAAGTATTTAGCAGAAAGGCCTAGGGGAAGAACTAAATGTTATGGCGGCAGACCCGTCAAAGTTGCCTTAAATGCCTGTGAATTTTTTTTTGGGGGGGGGTGAGTGCAGATTCAGGCAGGAATGTGGGAAGAGGATTCTCCCCTCTTCCTCATTTCTTTGCTCCCCTCCACAGCTCCTGCCCCCAGGTGCTTTGCTTCTGCCACTGAGCTCATTTCCTGTCTCACAGCAAAGAGCTGCTAGGTTAAGGGAGCACAGGGCCTTCTCTGTGGTAGCCCAAATGCCCTTTGCAGGGAGATTCATATGGCCTCCTTTAGGAAAACACTAAAGACTTTTTTTTACGTGTGGGGTTTTCATTTTTAAAACTGCTTTACGTTGCTGTTTTAATGTGGTTAATTATTTTTTGAAAGTTTGGTATTTTAATATTGTATTTTATTGATTTGTTGTAACCTGCCTTGGGAAAGTATGCCCCAAAAGGTGGGCAAGAAATATAACAATAATAATAATCACCATCACCATTCTAAACAGAGGAAAATATTCAGTACTTTTCCCACACTTGCTGCTTTTCTGCTTGAAATTGTCCCCACAGATGAGGCGCCACAACTGAGAAGGCCCTGTAGTTATTAAAAATAATAAAATCTACAGGGGTCAAATGTCAGCACAATTTTACTTTAGTGTCGTGTAGAATTTGTTCCTAAAGTACTCAAATTGTCAAAATTTTAAAACAGGGTAAAAAGGTAAAGGACCCCTGACAGTTAAGTCCAGCTGCAGATGACTCTGGGGTTGCGGTGCTCATATCGCTTTACAGGCCAAGGGAGCTGGCATTTGTCTGCAGACAGTTTTTACGGGTCATGTGGCCAGCATGACTAAGCCACTTCTGGCGCAACGGAACACCAAAGCAGCGCACGGAAATGCAGTTTACCTTCCTGCTGCAGTGGTACCTATTTATCTACTTGCACTTTTTGAGGTGCTTTCGAACTGCTAGGTTGGCAGGAGCTGGGACCGAGCAACGGGAGCTCACCCCATCGCTGGGATTTGAACCTCCAACCTTCTGATCGGCAAGCCTAAGAGGCTCAGTGGTTTAGACCACAGCGCCACTAGTTAACTTGCCAGATTCAATCCTCAACCAGAAGTTGCTTGTGTGATCCAAAATAACAATTTGTATTAGGTGCAAATTTGGTACCCACCAGTTAGTTCCTTGTAAGCATAGAGAGAAAACATTTACTGTCCCTGGTGCTATTAAATAGGTAAGTTGGAGAAAGCTCTCAAGAGCTAAGAGCTGAGTACAATGTTGGATAATTGGGGAGAAATAACCGTGGCATAAGTGGATTTTGAATCAACGCTTAATTTAGAGATTCTTTTTTGTTGAGACCGGGAAGTTCAAGTAAACTCATTGAGTTTAAGGAGATTAAAAATAAATAAATTAATACCCAGCTTTGGTATTGTTCTCAAGAGGAGGGAGAGACAGAATAGGTGGCGCAGTCCTATACCTGCTTGCCTAGAAGTAAGCCTCATTGAATTCAGTGGGATTTATTCTTGAGTAGGCATGTACAGGATTGTGCTCATTAAGTTCTTGTTACTGGGTGAATCTTAGTTGGTAAAAGAGTATGCAGAGCTCTCAGGTGCAACTTAAAGGCATTCAGGCTTCCATATCAACTGAAGTTGAACTGATAAACAAACGAAGCATGAGATTCTTAGTCTCAGGGTTATGGGTTCAAGTCCCTGGGCAAAAGATTGCTACATTGCAGCGGGTTGGAGTAGATGACCCTTTCAGCTCTACAATTCTGTGATTCCAATGCTTCACCAATTTGAACCTCTTTTAAAAAAATATTTTTATTCGCTCCAGGGACAAGCCTCTTGTAATCACCTTCCATTGTGGGTCCAGCCACATAGCCGCTGGGGGTGTGGTAGATGCTTGAAATTCCTGTGTTTGCCAACTCTGGCCTGTGGCTGACAGCTCATGCATCACTGCCACCGTGCTCATAACCCAAGGCTGAAAAACAACAACAGACCAAGCCTTTCTAGTAATTGGTGTGCCCCCCCCTTAAGTGAATTGTGATGATCACATGCCGAATGCATGGAATCAAGATGGAACAAGTTTCCAGTCCTCAGCAATTTACACACCATCCCATTCCTAGTCGGTAATGCACAGCATGTCTGTAAATTGGCACAAGCAAAATAGAGACTTTGGTTTAGGTCTGTAACCGTGCAACTATTTCTGTGTGCCCAAGGGAGCTGTGGGCTTGTGTTTCTCAAAAACAAAACAAAAAATTGGCTCCTCCCTTCCACGTGACAAGTGGATGTTGGAAACAATGGGATTTTCAGAAGCAGATTGTGAATTGATATGATATGATGGCTGCTGTTCCAAGGTGGGAGGGGAGAGCCAAATATCGCATTGTGAATGTCCAGGACCCCTTACGGGTGTGCCTAAAACAAGCTGTTTGGATCCCAACCGTTTTAATTTATTTAGACTTATTTATTTGATAAGCGGCTTCTTTGGTCTTGAATCTTAAGGATTGCAAACCCAATACGTCCACATCAGAACATTTAATTTGTGTGACATATGCCATGTCGAGTCACAGCAACCGAGCTCTGCATCTTTAAACACTGACTCATATAACGGTGGAACCAGGTGAGGTCTGGCCCCAGGTGCTGGCTGTTGCATGCATTGCTGAGCAATTCTGAGGTATGAATATTAGGTTAGACTGAAGAATAGAAATACAAGGTGCAGGAAGGTGGGGGGCGGGGAGGAATAGGAGAAATGGGACTTTCCTTTTTTCGTTTGTGGGTTTGGGTGGATTTTAATGCCACAGAGCAGATTTCGAGCGACTCGTTGGGACATCTGATGTATCTGCATCAATGCATTCCATTCTGTGACCCAGAACTCCTTTGATCTTCCAGGAGCCACCCATACCCACAGAACTTGTGCTGAATTCATGCGTTGATTATGTGATTATTTAGCTCTAGGAATGTGCTAGGCTCTGTATAGAACACTGGAAGTCTGCAGCCCTGCATGGCTGTACAGTGTCCTACGCTGTGTAGTGTACATTTGTGTAGATTTGTGTTTGGGTGGTGGTTTTTTTTTTTTAAAAAAAAGAAAACCTGCTTTACAGTCTTTATTTACTTGACCTGCATTGCAGAGGGTTGGACTAGATGACCCTTGGGGTCCTCTACAATTCTACGATTCTATGACCTTCAAAGTAACTCTTCAAGCTTGGCCGCTGGGGTCCAAGCCACTCATTGCAATGCACCTTTGTGGAATTCTAGCTTAGTAGCTGCTTCTCTGTGGCAAAGCATCACCTGAAAGGAAAAGGAACTCTGGTGTCTGTACACAATTTTCCTCCTGCACAGGAAACAAGGTAAACACGCCTCTGCAATCCTAACTCACTATTCGGAAGCAAACCGTGAAGCAAGGGTTTTGTGGGTGTGCTGAGGGGGCATGCAGTTCAGGGACTTCTTTCAGAGCAGGAACACCATGGTAATTGATGGAAATAACCCCTTGCTCTGGCAAGTGAATGAGTAAATAATGAGCCAGTAAATTTGACTGGGATGGCTGGGGCAACCCAGCCAGATGGGCTAGGTATATATAATAAAATTACCATTATTACTATTGTTTGTGACAGAGCAGCACAGAGGAAATCGGAGAATGAAGAAATTAATCAGGCAGAGGCTGGATACTTCTTTTCTTTAATAGAGTTCCTACTTCAGTCTAGGAATCTAAATACAAGAAGATTGTTTGCATTTCTGATTAAAAGCTAAATGTCACATTTGTGCTGGCTGACTATGTTTCATTAAAGCACAGTGCGTTTTGCAAGTTGAATCAGTGGAGTTCAGTGGAGCTTACTCCCAGGAAAACTTTGCATAGGATTGCAGTCACACTACTTAACCGATCAGGGATGTTAAGCCAGGTCTGCTCTGCTAAACTCCAGCATGCTAACCGCAATACCGCCCTTTGTCAGCTGAATATTCTGGGCTACTCTTTGTATGTGTCTGTCTATATCTACATACACATGATTGATCAACTGCATTTTGGACTCTCCTTGAAGATGTGGCTATAGGGATTGTCATGATCAGCTCCTGCACTTCAAAATTTACATCACTGACCACACCTATTGCCATAGTTGCACCAGGTCAGATCTGAATTCCTACTACCCACTGCTGGGACCACTCAGTGTGGAGGATTTTGCAGCTGCTAAACAGCACCATTGTCTTGTCTAAGGCCACACAATGATGCCATGGAGGACTTCAGCATGATTCCCCCAGATCCACATCCAGCTTTCCATCATTTAGGCAACACAGGCTATAGGCCTAATTATTCTGGCTTGGATGCAAGTTCCGGTGAAATCTGAAGAAGCTACTTTCAGCCTGAATACATTTAGCATTGACATGCTGGTATCTCTGAGGCTGTTCAACTTACTTTATCTGTGACCGGATCTCCTTCGTTCTAGATTTCTGAATGGCAAATACAATGCAGCAGATTGGGGGAGACTTGTCAAAGTGAATAGGATTGTGGGGTGGTTAAGCTTATCGTTCCTCTATGTGAGCCTTGTGTCCCTCAGTTCATGTCCCTTATTGTTCCACGTACATAAAAACTACATTCTTGCGTTCTGTGTCAATTCATCCAGAATAGCTAACACTCTGTAGTCCCCTGTGCACGTTCACTAATGTGGATTACAATCCACTTCATGCATTTGAAAGGTTGGATGCCAAATTTTTTTAAAAAAAAGATCCATCCTTTAACCACCTTGTTTTGTGATTACATCAGAGTGGTTAAGAAACAGCTAATCCACATTAAGTGATCTCAAATATGCACCCCTTAGATCAGTATACAAGCAAATTGTATAGTGGATTGCCCTTGGGGAGGAAGAAGGGGAAAAAAATCACTAGAGTCATTTCAGTTTGAGTGCTGAGGTTTCAAATCTTCCTCACAGTTCATCCCAGGGCTTGGAGTAAAACCGACTTAAATCTCAGGGTAACAAGTGAAGGGATGGTGGAATAATAATATTTTTTAAAAAACAACCCTTATTGATCTTTATTGAAGGTTTACGGCTTTGACTTTAATTACAAGTTCGATACAGCCAAAGGAGCTAGGGGAGAAAAAAAAGAGAGTTCTGTAGGAAGGTTTTATTCTGAGACATCTGTAGGTTGGCAGCTGTGCCAGCCATGTCAAATAACGGAAGCGGCAGAGCCAAGAACCTCAGTGTGTTTGTTGGTGACAGTGTTGTGAATATTGGTTGCACTGCACTATGACAGCATCTCTCCACGCCGCCGCCCCCCTTTCCTCCTTTTGCATATGTTTTTGGTGTGAGTGTGTGAGTGTGTGTGTGTGTACATATGGAACAGAGAGGCTGCCTTGTGTTTTAATTCCAAGTAGCGCTTCCTTAGCTTGCGTGTGTGTGTGTGTGTGTGTGTGTGTGTGTGTGTGCATCAGCATCCTTGCAGAGCAATTTTGCTAATTATATTGGGCAATCCACTTTAAATTCGGGAACATTGCAACTTTGAAACTGTAACATTTTGACTGGCAAGAATGACCAGGCTTCTCTCTCTCTCTCTCTCTCTCTCTCTCTCTCTCTCCCTCTCCCTCTCCCTCTCCCCTCCGCCCCACTCCCCATTTCACAGTGAGCTAGTTGAAGGAAGCTGGCATTGTCGCAGAGTGAAAGCTCTGCAGAAGTGCCGCAGGTTTTTTCATATGGAAATGTGAAATAATGGGGTGATTAAATAGAGCTGTATATTAAAGTACATCTGACATTAGAATTAGCATAATGTGCTCTAGCCCTAGGCTGAGTACTTTATTTGCCATCTGCGTCGGACCAAAATCCCCTGGGGAAGCGCTAAAATATTCTGAATAAACTCAGCCCGAGTTCTTATTGAGAGTAAAATACCATTTGTGGCACGTCGTATTGATTCGTCTTAATTGCGGTGCAGAAAAGAACATTCAGTCGCCGATGACTTTTGTACTCTATGACAAGTCGGCTGGAGTTATTCTAACAGTGCAGTTGGTTAACCTGAACAGACTGTGGTGCTCAGAGAAGGAGGAAAAAAACCCTTATCTTCAGCCACATAAAGTACAATATCATCTTATTTTTTCCCTTGGATTTTCTGAGGCAAAAGCCTTTTTTTAAAAAAAGGCATACACATGCACATACATACATAAGGGCAGCAAAAGGCTAAAGAAAAAAACTAGAGAACCCGTCCATTAAAATTAAAATTCTTACCATTCACACAGACACAGTTCAACATGGATATAACTTGCCCATGGGCTTCCATCACCTGAGCCATTAGTTCATGAGATTTACTATCTATATTTCCTAAGCGCATAAGATATTGCTGTATTTGAAACTGTGCTGAGGTTGATTGTTGCAGTGGCGAGATGTGTTATTTTTCCATTCAAATAGGTTCGCTAAGCACCTTCCTTTATAATATGTATTTTAAAAAATGCACCACCTAAACATTTAGTCTAAAGCGGGGGGTGGGGTGGGGAATGGTGTAATCTGTGCAATTCTGTCAAAATTCGCATTCAGATTTCACCCTATAATTTCCTGTCATTGTACACAATTTACATATTCAAACATTCCCAACAAACCTTAGCCTAGGATGTTTTTATTACAAATTCAGATCAAGGGAATAACCTTTAACTTCAGAGACAAATGAGACAAATTTACAAGTGCATGTCTGCTGTTTTCTTGTGTTTTATAAATCCCTGTGGACCTGAACACTTTTGCTATAACGCCACTCTGAACAATATACATATATTACTACTTGTTTGTAGTGCTTTAGTAATGAGTCCCCTTTGTATTAGATAACCTATATAATTCAGCATCCAGGCTCTCCATAACGTCAATTATCTCCTCATAGCTAAATGTACATTCCATTAAAACAAGATTTACAGCCCTTGCAATGCTTCTTGGGCCTGAATGTGGAGATTTTGTGGATTCGGAGAAGCAGGGATAGTAACTTCGTGTTTGTTAAAGAAGTCATGAATTAAAATAATACACTCTTTCCTTTACTAGCTAGGAATAGATACCTAATATTCCCCAGAGTGTGCCTTGTTAAAACACGGTGAACATTCATGGCGGGGGGCATGTCAATTTCTTCTTCTTACTTTTTAGGTGCCATTTATCGTTTTGAAAATTCACACTGCATTTTTCACCCTGATTAATATTTCTCATCCTCACTTTCTCATAAGTTTAGGAAACTGGATCGCGGTTCATTTCTGTAAGATCATGATCTCCAAAAACTGTCCTGAAAAGAAAAGAAAAAAGGTGGGGGAGAGAAAGAAAGCAGGGAAAATCCTTTTGCCGGCTTTCAAACAAACTACTGTATAGGAGATAGATTTTAAAGGCAAGCTGTCGGTTCATTTCATACATTGTAGCAAAGACATTAGACATAGACATTATTTCAAATGGCTATGAATGTGTTATGCAAAAGGAAAAGACCTAAAATGTCCTTGAGAAGTATGGTGTTTCTTCTCAAAGGCTATAAATGTGGCACTATGTATAAAAACCACCATACCACAGGTGAATCATACAGCCTTTTCATTTCACTAATGGGTAAATCTTTTCCACCTTAAACTAATGTGCCTTTTCCTTCTTTTGTCAAACTAATGATTCTTCCAGTTTTATAAAACTGTTCTATAAATTTGCCCCATCCATCCATCTTCTGCCTACATCTATCTAGCATTCCTATCTTGAATATACATTTTTTTAAAAAAAACATGAAGCATACATCAAACCATTTAGGTGCTAATTATAGGATTTAGCTGGAAAACATTGGGCGAAAAAAGGCTAACTTAAAAGTTAGCTCATTGCTTTATTATAGAAAGACCTTTCCGGTTCCTCTACATTTTTCTCTTTCTGATATAACAACTGTTGTAGATTTTAGAGTTTGATACTAATTTATAGGCATCCATGGAGATATAATGAAATTCACGGTTTTCTCTCATTTGCATAGCATACAGGGAATATAGATACATTCCCAAACTTGTTTAGTGGTTTTGAAGCAGCCACAGAAAGCAGAGCCTTTGTCGTAAGTGGAGTACCCAGAATTGCTAACGACTACTTAAGAATCTGAAATTGCTATTTCTTTTTTAAATAGTACATTCGATGGCTTTATTTAGGGTTAATGACCTTCTCTCTCCATAGACTGTGTCAGAGTTCTGAGTCTGAGTGAATGTTACTTACATTTTATACAAATGATTTCTTTGGGGGGTGGGCTTGGTGGCTGTGGGCAGCATATTGGTGTGGTAAGTCGGTCTTTGTTGTTGTTCAGAACTACAATGCCCTCTAGATGTTTCCTCAGCCACAAGGGACCTTCTTACCCATGAGCAGCTCCTATGTAGCTGAGAGAATGTCTAAATGACATACTCATTTCCCCATGATGTTTAGCCGGGTGCCATGAGGGTGACTGAACTCCCAGTCGTGAATGGCTTGGTCTCCAGAGCTAGCTATTAGTACAGCTGTCTCTTTTTTTTAATATTTGCCAACGACATTCCTGATGGGTTGGCATATTATTTTTGATCAACAAAGCGTGTTATTACAAATGTGTTGATGAGCCCTTAATTGTGTGTCGGTTGGTATTTGTTATTTGTGAATTCTTTAATTCTGGCATAACTCAACCTGTTAACTTTGAGAAGGACGAGGATGGAGGTTAGTGAGATGGCTTCATATTTATGCTGGCGTAGTTGTGATCAGATTGTGATCGAATGCAGATATGTTTGATCATATTCAGTATGCCTTACCTCTTAGGTTGTCCCTGATATCTATGCAATCCATTCCTGGTAATGGCTGAAGAAGGCTCAACCCCGACTAACAATGAAAACTGGAGATATGTGTATCTTAATCTCATGGAAACACTATTTTTCCATCATGAGCAGTAAACAATTTACTTGATTACACTGTTTGTTAAAAAGAAGGAAAGACGTACAAGTAGCAAGTATTTGGTCTTGACTCTTATCTGTTGTTGGTTGAATCTATGGCCCACTGAAGTCCATGAGAAGAAACACTTGCATTGTCTTAGGAAACCAAAACTTCATGCTCCTGATTAGCTCATTCTCCTCTTGTGATCCAAGGCAGAGAATTCTGGTCTAGACTATTTAATATAAAAGCATACCAACTGCTGTAAGCTATGGGGCATGAAATAATTTACCAGTTGTGTGTTTTCCATCTCATTGGGATGAAAGGTCTCATTTCGCATCTAACAGCAAACAATAGTTTGTGGTTTTTCATGCTTGTGGAGATTTCTGCTTATACGCTGCTCCCCTCTAGCCAGTGGGAGCAATGAACCACAATCCTTGCCTTAGAATTACAACTGAATTGGGGTTCATAGATTATTTCGGTCAAACCACAAGTGGGGATCTAAGAAGAAAAATGGCTTAACATCATGGGTTGTTTGGAGAAACACAGAGTATGATCCTTGGTTTGCATGTTAATATTCGGGATCATGGCTACTCCTGCCAACTAGAGGAGAGGGGCAAAGTGGGAGCCTTGTGTGCATTCACAGTAATGTATTAATTATTGTTTACTGTGGCATGCAAACACCCAGAGCTATATTTTGTGAAGGGATACTTGCAGTGCCAAATATCCCATAATTCACACATTCACTGACTTGGTTTATTCTCATAAAGTTCTCCAAATGTTCATGACCTTTTGTGGGCTCATCTCTTCCGCTATGTTGCCCACTTTGCTGCATTCTCATATTCCTTCTACATTTGTAAAACCATTAAAATGAACACTGGTAGATCCAGTCAAATGTCTGTTTCCAACATTGGCTGGGCAGATGCCTCTAACCTGCCCCCAACCCCAAGTCTAGCTTCCATTCTCTAGTTCCCATTAAGTTATAGTAATGATAATAATAATTTATTTATTTATACCCCGTCCATCCGGCTGGGTTTCCCTAGCCACTATGGGCAGCTCCTAACAGATTAAAAACAGCGTAACACATCAAATATTAAAAACTTCCCTAAACAGGGCTGCCTTCAGATGTCTTCAGATAGTTGTTTATTTCCTTGACATCTGATGGGAGGGCGTTTCACAGGGCCGGTGCCACCACCAAGAAGGCCCTCTGCTGTTACAACTTACACTTCTTCCCGAAATCCTTTCCTGCATACCACTTCATTTCCAGAGCAAGCTTGTGCAACTTGTGAGCCAACCAACCTTAATGTAGTCCACCAATCATCTGCCAGGTGGTTGACAACTGTTTTTGTAGTGCTAGGCAGTGGGGGGTGGAATAGAGTGCATTTGGCTTGGCAGGTCACAGAGTTGCAGGCCTATTCCAGAATGCACTAGCACCCTTGTCCTTGCCACCTCACCTTGCATCAGTCAAGTAATGCTTTATTTAGTGGTTCTGAAGCTCTTTTGTCTGTGCTAATGTAACACCGTGTTTCGTTGACTTCCTCTTGGTGGCATTGTTGGCTTGTAATGTTTTGAGTGGGCACCAGAGCACCACCAGATGGGTGTTGTCTAGCGCCACTTGTACGAAGAGGAACAAAACATCATCACCCCTGCCCCCAGATGTGGGCTCCTCCTCTTCCTGTAGGAGGCAGTCTGTTTTTTGCCTCACTTGAAGTTGGGTGTCTTTCTCAAGGGCTGACCTGGCAATACCATTGGGGAAAAACAGCTGCAACTGCGTCTTTACTCTTGGAACGCATGACTGATAGTTCGTCCTTGCTTCCTTTTATTTACTACTGCTTTTATTTGGCCTAACCTGTTGCAAGGACAGTTCTGTACATATCGGCCCTCTCCCCAAATTCTCACTGGACCGCAAACCGTGATCAAGAGCAGATAAGTTGTGCAGCACAAAAAAATTGCTTGCAGTGCAGATAGCTCTAGATGACTCAAGCAAGTAAACCGAGAGAAAGATCTTTCTTCTGCCACAAAATCAGGCGATTAATGAATTATGTTAATTCCCTGCCTTATTTTAATTGTTCGGTATAGAATGCCACAGTGGTGCTTCCTAAGGAGAGAGCAGGCCTTACTTATGATTAAGTGAGCTGTTTCTCTGAAGCTGCTGTAACGTGACCACATTTGAAACCACGAGGTAAATTCCATGTTAGATTTCAAGGAAGAGAGAAAAACAATGGGCTGCAACCTTGTAATCCTAATGGTAGCTAACCAGTGAGTCATTTAACATATCCACTTAGATATCGTACAGTAGCCGAAGTCATCCAAAAATTTGTGTGTGTGTGTGTGTTCTTACCTGGTTTGTGGCTTGTGCTTTCTGCTTCTGAAATTTCTGGCACTTGAAAAAGAGGAAACGGTTCATTCATTTTGCTATTTGGTATAGCACAGGGGTGTTTTTGGCACACCAGAGGTTCAGTTTCCATATCCCTTCTGGGGATATACCCTTAAACTAGATTGCCAGTCAAATGTCGAGTTCCCCGCTAGTTTTTGTTCTTTGAGAAACATGAAATCTTTTTCCCCCCCATGGCTTCAATTCCTTTTTCTTTTTAATATCATCAACTGGTCTTATGAAAAGGCTTGTTAAAACCAGTGCTTTCAATTAAAGCGTTTTAATTCAATAATAATTCAATTAAAGGTGTGTGTGTTTTATTGAGCATCCACACTGCTATTATTGGTGGTATTAGAATACAAAAACGTAAGTGGGAGCAATTATTTAAATGCTCGTTATGTGGAGAAAAAGCAGTAGAGGTAGCTATAGAGGAGGCAGATACATGTCTGCTCCTGAGTGTTAATACTAAACATGCCCTCTCTTTTAAATCTTGCAAGTTGCTATTTTCATGGATTTCTAAAGCTGCACTGAAGCACCATTAAACATACCTTATGTTTTTATTGCCTCTGTTGCAGCTTTTTAAAGTGAGCATGCAGTGTTTTGTGAAGGAGAGCTAAAGGAAGATTTTTTTGGGGGAATGCTCCCTCTAAGGGTGGCCCAGGGAGAAAATGGACAGAAACAGGATGGTACACTCCCTAATGGAACTATGCCTGTTACTAGCTGCCATTAGATTCTTCGTATTGCTAATTTACATAAATTAGAATTAATTGTGCATGCGGTAATTGGAGGTTTTTAAAAAAAATAATAATAAAACTCTTAAGGACAGTGAAACCTACTAACTCCTTTGTTCTGTTATTTTTCCCTGTATTGTAACAGATGAAAATGGTTTAGGTAAAGTACAAGAGTGTAGTTCATTCTTTATTAGAGCCATTTGTGTGCTGCCCTGTAACATAAAGTTACAAGATGGCTTGCAATAAGTAAGTAAAACGTTAAATAAAATAAAAGGAAAACAAAAAAATGGAACAAATACAAGAAAAGCAAAATGCACCGCGGCCCATAATTAAAACACAAGAGTTAAAGCTAGTGATATATAAAATACTTTGGGTGTTAATTCAACCTTTGGCCTCCAATGAAAGGCAAACATTATGTTATTAAGCAACTGGCTTTGCAGGTGCAAGCCTATGCATGGTTTTGCTCATGAGTAAGTTAGTGCCATTAAGTTTAGTAGGTGTATACTTACGGACTCATTGTTAAAACTGTGTTTATGGAAGACAATCTTACTCGGCTACGAGTGATCGCCAAAGAAGAAGATAGATAGATAGATATATTGCTCCTTATTGCAACATAAAAGCAAAAGCAAATCTCCCTTAAAGCATGATTTCTGGATTATTTTGCTTGATCTGGGTATAATACGTCTCACCCTGCTCCCAAGAAACATCTTTCCCACTACGCACTATAATTTGCAGAGAAGTGCAACTTTTAGTGAATCCCTGATTAGCTTTCAAGTGCTGATTTCTCTAAGCATGACAACAGGAAGTTTAAGCACAAAACAATCCCATACTGACATCATTTCTTTGTGAGTGTGTCTTGCTCCCCCATGTTAGTGCATGGTCAATCCTCCACTTCCTGCAGACAGGCAGCGAGTATGCCCATTGGAAGGATATCCCCGCCCTAATCCATGGGTAGGCAAACCTGGGGCCGGATCCAGCCCAATCGCCTTCTAAATCCAGCCTGCAGACAGGCCAGGAATCAGCATGTTTTTACATGAGTAGAGTGTGCCCTTTTATTTAAAATGCATCTCTGGGTTATTTGTGGGGCATAGGAATTCGTTCATTTTTATTTTTATTTCAAAATAAAATAGTCCGGTTCCCCACAAGGTCTGAGGGGCAGTCGACCGGCCCACTGCTGAAAAAGTTTGCTGACCCCTGCCCTAATCCCTCCCTCCAGGAGTAATATTTTTTATTTTATTTTAATTTATTTATTAAATTTGTATACCGCCCATCATTCGCAGATCTCAGCCTAAATTTACAATATAAAAACCACAAAAATACATAGTAAAAAATAAGAACAACAGAAAACCAATAATTCCCCCCAACCCAACCCACCCACCCCCCATTTAAAAGGGCATCGGATGTCAATAAGCCAAAGACCTAGTTGAAGAGGAACATTTTCTCCTGGCACCTAAAGGTGTATAATGAAGGTGTCAGGCGAATCTCCCTAGGGAGAGCATTCCACAAATGGGGAGCCACTCTTCTTCCTTAAAGTCCTTTGAAACAAAAGCAATATAAACTATCGACATTAACTACTGACTGTATAAAAAGGGACTTGACTGGCGAGTATGTCTGTGTGCCTCCTTGCAGAGGAGGAGGTAAGGGAGCTGGTAAACCTAGGTCAGAGTAAACCCAGCAGTAACTGCTCAGGGAAAGAAAGAAAAAAGACTCAGCAGAAACTCTGGAGGATGGAATTTGTCCTAGCTACTCTGGTGAGTGCCCAGTGCAAAAACTGCTTCAAACATGGACAATGCCACAGTGAGAAACCATGCCTTGTGTGGGAGTACTAACTTCAGCTGCGCTTTTGCTTTGCTTTGTGTCCCTTTCTTTTTTTTAAAGCGCATTCACATTTTGAACATAATGTCACCCATCACAGAGAAAGGGAGAGAACGATTATTTGTTTTCAGAATAAGTCTACCCTCAGAATAGGCAGGTGGGTTCAGCAAATGCACAGTCTATAATTACTTGCATAGGTTTAAGCTATGGGATACTCAAAGAAAGGCTCTCGTTATTTAATTGGATTCGTTTGTTAGAAGTCATTTGCTAGATGCTTGTTATGCACCAAAACAGAACTGGGTAGCAAAAGCCTTGGGGCAGGGGGTGGCTGGAAGCCACAGGGGTTGCGTGGTCTGCTGGTAGACCTAAAGGTGGGGGGATTGGTGGTCCCTGAGGGGATCCACCCCACTTGGGAACCCAGAGGCAAGAGGGGTGTATGGTGTGGTTGATGGCTGCATATATGCAGCTTCCCAACCAACCACTTGGGGGAATGGTAGCAGGGCTCTGGTTCCTGCTCAGAGGTGCTTGGAAGAACGCTCTTGAGCTCGTGGCCTGCTTAATAAACACCTGCTTGGCCACTCTAGGAAACAGATAGTCTCACCCAAGAGGGCTTTGCATATGGCTCTTAAGTGCGTCTCCAAGTGGCTGGCTAGGAGTTAGAATCTGTTAGCTAATCTGCCCCCATGCTGCCCCTTCTTGGAGACAAACTCGGTTCTCCAGCCACATTCTCCACCCACTATGACATCTAGAGGCCTTGTGAATTCAGGATCTCGAGAGAAATAACCGCTGTAGAGTCCTCGGGGAACCTTACATCGCAACTTGTTCTTTATTTAGTCCATTTAAATTAACCACTGTTTCAGACACAGTGTGTAATAATAATAGTTTATTATTTGTACCCCGTCCACTCTGGGCGGCTTCCAACAAAGATTAAAAATACATCAAAATGTCACACATTAAAAACTTCCCTGAGCAGGGCTGCCTTCAGATGTCTTCTAAATGTCAGGTAGTTGTTTATCTCTTTGACATCTGATGGGAGGGTGTTCCACGGGGCGGGTGCCACTACCGAGTAGGCCCTCTGCTGGTTCCCTGTAGCTTTGCTTCTCGCAGTGAGGGAACCACCAGAAGGCCCTCGGCGCTGGACCTCAGTGTCCGGGCTGAACAATGGGGGTGGCTCCTTCAGGTATAGTGTAGTGAGTTCTTTGGATGAGCGAGGGGGTAGAGAAGAGCCATTCTAGAATAGTCAATCAAGGATAATGACACAAGTTTATTGTATAGCTGCAAAAAAAAAATGCTGTAAAAAGATAAGGCTACATAACAGTGCGACTGTAGTTCAATATTCGGTAGATGTAATTTAGACAGACACCACCACCCCAGAAGGACTGAGAGCATTGGACGTAACACAAAGCAAAGAGGGCAAAGTGGGGGAAGCCAGCATGACTGAAGAGTCCCACTTTCTCATCTTTGTACTATAGCAAGTTAAAAGGAAAACTCGCCCATCTCTCCCATGGTGATAATGCTTGAAGTTGGCTGTTCAGGAGCTCAACCTTCCACTTCAGACTAACACAGGGGACCACCTCATGTACTAAAAGCTCATTCTGTATTAGAAGTACATTTAGTTCCGTGTACTAAAGAAATTCTATAAGTGTGGATCCTTATATAACCAAAATGGCACCTTCCACACATAAGACGGAGGTATGAACAGGATTCGGGGAACCCCAAGATTTGCAAAATTATGAAAAACATCCCTAGGGAGGAAAAATTATTGAGAGGGATGTGGAAGAGAAACCCCAAACTGCCCAGTGAGGACTTTATCTTTCCCCCCAGTAATGTGTAATGTGCAAAGCCACATTGAGGACACTCACACCAAAGTAGCCCCCCTCCCCCCAAGAGTAGGCACTCTGCTTTATTAGCTGTAAGGATCACTTTATAGCACTATTTGACCGTTCCTGGGCATTTTTAAAATACTTAGCAAGTTTTAGCATATAAAAATGTTCGGAGTGGATCTTCAAAGACTTTTTGACATTGTTCTGTTCTTAAAAGTGAGCATCCACACCGCTCAGGGCAACTTCGAGGCAAGATAACCATGAAGTGATAATATGGAAATGAACATTTTATTTTTTTATTTTCTGTAAGTATGAAAAAAATAATAAAGGAGAGTCTAGGGAGAGCCTTTGAGGGCTGTGAAACTGAAGCAGGGGAGGAAGAAGAAGAAAAAAAATAAGTGAATCTGTCAGAGCTGAGTAGCCTGCAGTCAATTTTGCCATTGTGAACAGGGGGCTGCCGAACAGAAGAGTTTAGGGGCATGAAAGAGAAATGAAAGAAAAACAAAGGGAAGAGCTGCTACTGTTATGACCGATAACTTGTCATATCAGTATCTTATGGCAGTAATACACACTAATAAGCTGGTTTTGAACGGGAATAAGAAAGCAGAAGTAAAATGGATTCATTCTTTCACTTGCATTTCACAGAGGTGATTTTTTTTAAAAATGCAAATTATTACTATTAGTATTATTATTATTTAAAAAAAAACACTACCACCACCAAAAACCAAAGCTTCCCAGCTGTATGAAACAAATGCCAGTGGCTAGCCAGCTGCCATTTTAAGGCTATGTTTTTAATTTTATTTTTAAACCATCCATTAGACTGACCTTGGTCTTCAGATCAGCCCACAACATACTGTTTTATCTATCTGCTTTTCCTGAGGTAAATCTCTTTCCTGAGGTAAACCTCTTTCCTGGCAAATGCAGAAGGGGTGTGCAAGGAAGGGGGAACTCTGTTATTAGGCAAACCAGATTCTGGGAACACTGAGAGAAAACAGATAAATAGAGAATTCACTCTGCGACTTTAAAGAAGGAAGACCCAGTCATCTGTGGGAAATCAGTCAATTAATTAGTGTTTATAAAATGGAGGTAAAGGGTGCCAAACAGTCTTTAGTGTGAAGCTATATGACCTTGTAAGATTCTGCTCTTTGGTTGCTATTAGATCACACTTTTTATTATTATTTTTTAAAGGGTTTTATGAAAGTCCATTCAAGGGTGAGTTGAGGTAAAACATATTGTTAAAAAAAAAGCTTTTGACAGAATATGCTATATATTTTAGCCTGCCTCAGTGATTTCTGTCACATTCTATACTACGTATAGTGTTGTTTAAGAAACATTAAAGGTCTAGACTTCTTTTTGTCACATTCATTCTTGAGAAAGAAAGAAAAAAATTAACTATTGGAAGTACTAATGGGAGCACTGACTGTTAAATAATCTTCAGAGCTGACATAAAACAACTTCTGCCTGCCAAATGCCTCAGTTGCTAAGTTGATAGTAAAGGACATTTCTCTGTAGGATCATGGTCTATAAAATTGTTAGGGATTTCTGCTAGAATGCTTCTGGTTGTATGTCTTTTTCTTATGGGGCAACTTTTAGTGTTTGGAAGAAGCAGCAACCAAAGGCATACAGCAAATTGCCCTACAGCAAGATTTTGAGTTAGGGTTGGGTGAGAATGTCATATTTCCCCCATGAATCTTAAATCCCATCACTTAGAGCAGGGAAGCAAGTTTTTCCTAAAGTGTGACTAATAGCTCATTGACACTGGACTTGCTCTAAAGTCTATATTGCTCCAGCTTATAACTTACTTTATCTACTCTTAGGGACTAGTGTGCCCCAAGATCTGTGCATCCTATGGGGTTTGCCTAGCTTCTCTGTTGATTGACTGATGAATGTCTCTCTCCCTCTTTCCCAATACTTAGGCTTTGTCCCAACTAATTGTTTATGTACAATGTGCAGATACCATTAATGTTGGTGATTTCAATAGGACTCGGGGAAATCGTCCCCACGTGCCGATATCTACATAATACTTGTTGCCTTCTAGCTCTTTGCAGAGAATACACAAGGCATTCAAACAGCTCTAAGAGCCCTGTCTCTGCCAATCGGAACTACTATAATTAGGGAGTAGGAATCCAGATTTGTGATCTCTGTGTTGGCTTGGGGCATGTCTGTAGGGCATTTTCTCCCTTAAATGGCACGAGATGTTGATTCAGGCACGCAAATGCCCTCATTCCCATTCATTCATGCTCTCTTATCATACCCAGGGCAAGCACCAGCGTGCTTGGCCATCTACCCAGTGTCCATTGGGGTTGGTGATGGGCACATCTGGGGGGGGGGTTGCGCATGCTCTAACACAGCGGTTAGGTCCCCAGATGTTGGACTACAACTCCCATCATCCCTAGCTAGCAAGGCCAGAGCTCAGGGATGATGGGAGTTGTAGTCCAACAACATCTGGGGACCCACAGGTTGAGAACCACTGCTCTAACAGGACACAAGCGAAGAAAAAGGGAGAAGATTTTCTTGTCCCATCATTATTTCTTCTTCTTCTTCTTCTTCTTCTTCTTCTTCTTCTTCTTCTTCTTCTTCTTCTTCTTCTTCTATTGCCAAGGCCAAACAGGAAGGAATGGATACAGGGTGGTGGAGATTGCTATAGCGGATTGCCGCAACAAGAAGAAACCACTGCTTCTGCCACTGCCAGTGCCAAAAGTGAGCTGCAAGTCATAAGCACTGTTGAAAAAGAGCTAGAAATAGGAGTGGCAGGTGACAGGTAACAAGCCCTTGTGGTGCTTTTGAAACGTCCTGCACAAAGTCTTCTGCTCCTTTTTGTTTCCATGCTGCTAGCAACCAACAGAGCATGGTAGCAGGAACTTTGACTTGTGATAAGAGAACAGCAATAGTTTCAAAATAAAGGAAATTTGGACAGGACATCCGCACCCCACTCTCCATATTGGGCAATTCCTAGAGAATGGTACCATATTTAGAGGCATGTGTTTTGCAGAATCCTTTTCCTGTTTCTCACTGAGCCAGTCCAGACCATCACAAAGCAGTAGAGTTAATTGTAATAAGGGTCAGACTTTTGTTTTTTTTAAAATAACAATTTCGTCAATATCCTTGCTGTGAGAATACATTCATTTTCCGGCAGAGCACCCAGAAATCAGCTGCCATAGTTTTCCTGTGTAAAACAAATAGCTGCTGTGAAAAAGCTGAATGTGACATTTTAAAAAATCTGGAATGTATCTATATCTAGGAATTTGCCAGGTTTTATGGAAGTGTTCCTATTTAAGGTGATGATAAAACGTTTTGCTTTGTGTATCCAGGGATGGATTATTTATTTATTTTTTGATAGCGAAATAATTGAGTGCTGAGCTGTAACGTGCCCACACCTGCCTCTCTTTTTTTTCCTTTTTTCCCTACAATTCTGAAGAAGGAATGTGTTTTTAAAAGTTCATTCACTAGCTGAGAAGACAAAGCAACAGTAGATTAGGAAGACAAACAAGAAAGTCAAAAGTTCAAACTTTTTTTTGTATTAAATGACACGGTTTGAGTACTTCTGTATATAACCCAGTTCAAATATGGCTCCGGTGTCTGTTAACAACTACATCCAACTGTTATTATGGGTTTTCATAATTAGACAATTATTTATCTTCTGACGTGTTCAGAGCTTTCGATAAACACAGAAGCAGGATGGTTTCTTCACAGGGTGCATTTTTTTAAAAAAGCTTAGATGGGATTCTAACACCACTGTTGTCGGTGAAAATAAGGCTGGATTAGAATATGGGAGATTTCCATTTGAAACCTACTTAGGGATGTTCCTGGTAAAATCCCAGGCACATAAGGAACTGCCTTATATCAGCTTGGCTCATTAGCCCCACCTAGGTCACTAAATCGATTGGCAGTGGTTCACCAATGTTTTAGCAGGAGCCCTCAACTACCTGGAGATGCCAAGGATTGAATTTAGGGGCTTTGGACATGCAGAACATTTTCTAGAAAAATAGCACTGAAGAAGCATATTCGCTTAAACGGAAGGGCACACATATTTAACTGATGAGCTTATGTTTGAGGGTAAACTGGATTGTTTTGAGGCTATTTTGGTTCTGATGCGCTAACAGGGAATGAAATAGAAAACGCTAACACGTCTAACTAGGAATGGGTAGCTTCCGTTTATTAAGCTGTTAATTGTTCCTCATTCTTCAATATCACAAAAGGCACCTCCACTTAATTTTTGCATCCCCCCCCCTGAAATTTCACCTTTCCTCTAAGGAGCTGTAGGATTTGTGATTTTCCTCCCACCCTTTAATCCTCCCAAAAAACCTGTGAGGTAGGTTATGCCCAAAGTCACGCAGTCCGCTTCACGGTTGAGCAGAGATCTGAACGAATAATTTTTGAACAAAGTAGGGACTCTTCTCCTGCAAGTGGAACAGACATGTCTTACCCCAGCAGCAAGCCATAACTTTTTTGTTTGCTATACCGTAAACAGATTATGGATATGATGTAAACATGCATTTTCCTTTTTGTATTAGAAAACAGAAATAGAAACAGAAATGACACATTATAACTGGAAATATTTTTTGCTTAGAAGTTGTCTGTGTTATAATACTGATCTCTCTCTCTCTCTCTCTCTCTCTCTCTCTCTCTCTCTCTGTCTCTTTCTTTCCCTTCTATAGGTAAAGATGAGCCTTCAAGCTATATTTGCACAACATGCAAGCACCCTTTTAACAGCGCTTGGTTCTTGCTTCAGCATGCCCAGAACACACATGGATTCCGCATCTACCTGGAAACAAGCCCTTCAAACAGCTCCCTTACTCCACGCATCACCATCCCTCCTCCTCTGGGACCCGAGACTGTTGCACAGTCCCCGCTGATGAATTTCCTTGGTGACAACAACCCTTTTAGTCTCTTGCGAATGACCGGTCCCATCCTGCGCGATCACCCTGGCTTTGGCGAAGGCCGGCTCCCCAACACGCCTCCCCTCTTCAGCCCGCCGCCTCGCCATCACCTGGATCCGCATCGCCTTAGTGCCGAAGAAATGGGGTTAGTTGCCCAGCATCCCAGTGCCTTTGACAGAGTCATGCGTTTAAACCCCATGGCAATTGAGTCGCCAGCGATGGATTTCTCCAGAAGGCTTCGAGAACTGGCAGGGAACAACTCCACCCCTCCGCCAGTTTCTCCCAACCGCAACAACCCTATGCATCGCTTGTTGAATCCTTTCCAGCCAAGCCCTAAATCTCCTTTTTTGAGCACCCCGCCATTGCCGCCAATGCCCCCGAGCAGCACTACGCCTCCCCAGCCTCAGGCTAAGAGCAAGTCCTGTGAATTTTGCGGGAAAACGTTCAAGTTCCAGAGCAATCTCATCGTCCACCGGCGCAGCCACACAGGAGAGAAGCCCTACAAATGCCAGCTCTGCGACCATGCCTGTTCTCAAGCTAGCAAACTAAAACGCCATATGAAAACGCATATGCACAAAGCTGGGTCCATGACAGGGAGATCAGATGACGGATTGTCCGCCACAAGCTCCCCTGAGCCCGGCACAAGTGAGCTCACTGGGGAGGGACTAAAGTCTAGTGAGGCAGACTTCAGGAACGAGAGTGATCCTTCTCTAGGCCACGACAATGAAGAAGAGGAAGAAGAGGAGGAGGAGGAAGAAGAGCTGGAAAACGAAAGTAGGCCCGAGTCCAGCTTCAGCATGGACTCGGAGCTGAGCCGTAACCGAGAGAACGGTTCCAAATCGCTGCCAGATGAAAAATCCCTCGTCCTAGGGAAAGTGATAGAGAATGTTAGCCTTGGTACCATCCAGCAATACAGCGACATGTTGGCTGAGAAGCAGAAAAGGAGCAGCTTCATTAAGAGGTCCTCTGACCAGCGAGACCTCTGCCCCCGAGACCTTTGCCAGAGAGACACCGGCGACGAAGACTCGGTAGCTGGAGAACTTGACCGTACTGAGGAGGGGACAGTCAACGGGAGGAACTTTGGTCCTGGAGAACCTTTCCCTGGCCTGTTCCCTCGCAAGCCCACCCCAATCACAAGCCCCAGTTTAAACAACTCCTCAAAAAGGATAAAGATAGAGAAAGATTTGGACTTGCCACCAGCAACAATAATACCTTCTGAAAATGTTTACTCGCAGTGGCTGGTGGGGTACGCAGCGTCGAGGCACTTCATGAAAGATCCATTTCTTGGGTTCACAGACTCCCGACAATCCCCCTTCGCCACCTCTTCTGAGCATTCCTCTGAGAATGGAAGCCTGCGTTTCTCCACCCCTCCAGGGGATATGCTGGACGGCGGTCTCTCAGGGCGCAGCGGGACGGCGAGCGGAGGCAGCACGCCCCACATCAGCGGACCTGGCCCTGGCCGACCCAGTTCCAAGGAAGGACGGCGGAGCGACACGTGCGAGTACTGTGGCAAGGTCTTTAAGAACTGCAGTAACTTAACGGTGCATCGGCGGAGCCACACGGGAGAGCGGCCTTACAAATGTGAGCTCTGCAACTATGCATGCGCCCAGAGCAGTAAGCTGACGCGTCATATGAAAACACATGGCCAGATAGGGAAGGAGGTCTACCGCTGCGACATTTGTCAGATGCCCTTCAGTGTTTACAGCACCCTGGAGAAACACATGAAAAAGTGGCATGGCGAACACTTGCTGACAAATGATGTCAAAATTGAGCAGGCAGAAAGAAGCTAAGGCCCCCGCTGGGTTTTAAAAAAAATAAAAATCAGGGGTCTAGGTAACATTTAAATTGTACAGTTTTAACTATTGCCAACTGAGAAAAGCTGACCTAACTTGCCTCCATATACATAATTTAGCATAACTATGGCAGGTGCCAGAATTTGGCACTTAAATATAACCTGTGTCTACAAAGTTCTATTAAACCTGAGGATTGGTTAAGGCAGTAAAAATTGTGAAGCCTTTTAACTGTGCAATAATTTCTGTATTTATTGGGTTATTTTGTATTTTTTAATTTTTTTTGGCATGTGCAGGTATTTTTTTTTTAATACTTTCCCCTCCTGTTTTAGATTTCCTTTAAAATTTTGTTGAGTATCCCATTCTAATTTTCCCCACTAGTAACCTGAGATTATTTGCATTACAGGGGGAGATACATATCAATTTAAATTATAATTTTATAGGGCCGCTGCTTTGTTGAATCTTATGCTAAGCATGTGTAATTTCTTGTGAAGAAGCCAGCATTTTAAATAATAATTTTCTTCTCTCTCTATTATTTTTTAGCCACCCCCACCCCTCGCTTTTCTTTGAGAAAGAAAGAAAAAGGAAATAATTTGAAAATTAGGAAATATAAAATAGAACCGCGGATAACAATCTTAAAAATTGTAGCACTTTCTTTTGGATTTGGATCTAATATGTAGCACTGGTGATGCCACTAAAAATAGAGGCCTTTACATTTTTTTGTAAAAAAAATAAAATCCCAGACTTCCACAGTAGAAGTTATGAAAGCTAAAATGAAATAGGCAAATTTGTTCCCACCCCCCTTAAAGGCAGCTATATTTATAAGAGCAATAGCAAGAGTTGTGCATTATTAATATGGAATTTGTTCCATTTACTAATGACTTACTTTCACCTTTCTGTCATCTTCTTTAACTTCATTACATAAAGGGAATGCAAGAGCCCTGACAGCTAGCAGCATGTGCAAATTTTAGCAAGCATGGAGAAAGAAAAGGAACCTTGCTTGTAGTCCCCCCCGCCCTCCCCGCCCCATGTCACGTGCTATTCTGGCCTTAAACTTTACGCACACAATAATTGAAGTTATCACTTGACGACCTGAATACATGATAATGGCTGCAACGGACCGTTCTGTAGCAAATACACCAGTGCCCCTTTTGGGGGACTGGGTTTGCAACCCTAACCCCATGTTAGCTGGGAGCAAGCCCCACTGAACTCAGCAGGACCTACTTCTGTGTAGACACAGTTAGGACTGCACTCACTGCAAACGTGGTTTCATACCGAACCTCAGTTTGTGTAGTAAGTGCACACGTGTGGGCATGTGTGTGAACGCAGGGTCGTGCGCGCGCACATGCTATGGCTAACGTAATTGTTTTGATTAGGACTGGTGAATCAAATTACGGTACCCGATGAATCACATGAAACCTGCATGCTTCTTCATATGGCTAAAACAGTTGCTCTGAAGAAGAAAGTCCATTATTTTTTTTGGTGGTACATAGATGCATCACAGCAGGTGCCCATTAGACGTGGCATTCCCTCCTCTGCTTTGCATGCAAAAGGTTCCAGGTTCAATCCCTGGTGTCTCCAGAGAAGGCTTGTCTGAAGCCCTGGAGCGCTGTTGCCAGTCTTTATTGACCATGCTGAGCTCGAGGGATGACATCTTCTAATAAGGGGCAGCCTTTCCCCCCTTTTCTATTTAGAAGTGCTCTCCACTGCTTTTTTCCTGGTCGCAACCGTAGGAACACTTACCTGGGAGTAAGCCTCATTGAAGGCAGTGACTTATTTCTGAATTAGACCTGCACTGCGCATATATTTAAGGGGGGGGGGTTAATCCAACCAATTCATTGATTAAAGGTTGACATATTGTCATATGATCAGTTTCCTCAGGGTGTATTATCTATCACATCAGGCAATTACCCGTCACATTAGGCAATTATACAACAATGGGAGATGTTAATCCTTGTTGACACACATTAAGCAGGGCACATAAACTTGCATAAGAACTTTCGCTGTGTGAACTTGAAAGAGTCCCAGTTTACTCCCAACAGCCTTTGGTAAGGAAGAGTAACAACATCTTAACCCTTGCGTCCTTCCTTGTCTCCCTCTGTTGGATGGTGACTGCTTAGCTAGCGAACAAAATAATAAACTTTTCTCAAGCTGACCCCTACAGAGAGTTCCGGCCATATTTTGTCTGTTGTAGCAAAACAACTCAGATTCTAATGTAAGATATATGTTTGGCTTCAAGGTGCTACAAGACTCAAGTTTCTACATCAACAGGATGTATAGAAACCCAGTTTAAAATAATGATGTCGGGTCCAAATTCCCACCACAAGTGGGACCAACCACACATAAGCCCATCCCAAGCAACCCACAAAATCCACACCCCAGTGCCCCATTAAGCAGTAAGTAAATGGAAGTGATTCTTGAAGAGCAGATAGCTCCAGATGACTCAGCTAAGTGAGCCAAACTATATACTTCCCTAGGCTTGTTGGTCATTGGGACCTGATAGGAACTCCTTCCCTACTCCAGATACCAGGTATTTTAGCCCCCTGGGCTATGATGTTCCTGAAAACAGTTCCCAGCACCGTGGCGACACCGAACTCCCAATATTTCTTTGAGCAACTCGTGGGTTTACATTACATTTACATTACTCATGTTCCATGTTATTATTTTATTATTTATTGAATTGATATACCACCCTACACCCGCAGGTCTCAGGGTGGTTCACAGAATAAAATCAGAATATAAAACCACAAAGTACATAATCAAAATAAAAATGACAACCCAGTAACCCCACCCCAGTGATTGTAATATGGAGATAGAAATAGGAGGGCCGAACTTGCTGCTCCGATCATCATGTCCCCTGCTGGCTGAATCCCTTCTCCGCCATCTATAAACTGGGGAAATATCTTTAGAAGTGAGCATATTCTACAAACCCAGTTTCACCTGATCATCTTGAGTTCTAAAACCTGGGGCAGTCGTGGCATGTGGTGCAGGATCCTCTGTACAGACATACCCACCCGCCACCCAGCATATGGACATAGACAGGCAGAGACCTAATGGTGATGTGAGATGGCCCCATTCTGTTCCCTCCCCACGGTCACAGCCATGTGGATGATAACTTCCGAATAAGGCTAATCTTTTACATGCGTTTGTCTTTAAAATGGCAGCTGATTTAAAAATGAGAGTACCTGTTCCCTAATTTTGACGTGTCCGATATTCAAGAAATATTCAATATTCAAGTACTATAACGCTCCCATGGTTGCCGTACTGTTTCTAAAGGCAAGTCCAGTGCAGACCACCAGCTACTTCCGGCGGTCCACCACTGGTGTTTGCCTCGGGTCTGAAGATGGCAATTCTCTTGCACCAGATCTCCCGGGTCAAGTTGGCTTGGTGAATCACCGCTTGTACACTCTGTTTCACATTCAGTATACCACACAGAGACAAATACACAAGGTTGCTCACCACAATTATGGAAATGCTTCGAAGGAATATCTGCACTTAAGACTGGGATTGAATAAAACACACACACACACTCCTGCATATTTGCGCACCCCATGACACCAATTTGTGCAATATTGTACAAATACGATTTGCTTACTTCACAGTGGTTTCCTTACACAGTGGTTTCCTTCCTGGCTTTTGCCTAAGACTTCTGTATAAACTGTGCTCTCTAGCAAAAAGCAACAGTTATAGTTACAGCTGTTATTCAAGAGCCGAGTGCTAGCCTAGACTGCGAGGCATTTTGCCAGGGAAATGAAAATATTGTCTCGTATAATGCACAATTATGTTATTGTAAAGTAAATAGGCCAAATGCTCCCTTTTAGAATAGTGCCATTAAAGTAACGTTTAAGTATTGACGAGGCGTCTCTATAGTCAAGGTTTTGAGGGTTGCAACCTTTAAAAGGGTACTGAAATAAAAAGGTGCGTAAATTAAAAGCTCCCTATATTTGGAAGTACACAATTTGAGTTCCATAAAGCAGGTTTGTTTTGTTTCTGGTTTTGTTTTTGTTTTTTGTTGTTGTTTTTTAAAACACCTCCATTATTCATTGAATTATAAAAACTAAATTAAAAGCCGTGACGTCCAATTTTTCTTTGGATAGATTTTTGGGTAATTTAGCACTGGGGAAGGATCCATAATTGTAAACCAATTTGCCCACATTCTTAAACTCCAGTCACATATTGTACTTTGTTTAGGGTTACTGGATGTGCTTTGTTTATGCTAAATCTCATATTCCAGTATGTAATATCTCCCAAAGAACAGAAAATAAGGACCCTCACTGCGAACACTAAAAGCCCTTTGGAAGTTACTGAAGGTGCCAGATCAGTCCTATTTGAAGCTCTTGGCTCAGCCTTTTCATTCTGAACTTTCTTAAGGCCAATGATTAGATTAATTCCTTGATGGGGACAATGAGGTCAAGAGGAAGGCACCTATAGACCTACACCTTGGTGCATTTGTTTGGTTGAAAGAGTAGGAACCCATTTAGGCAAAAATATTAAATAACCTGCTCTGCTCTGCTCTTCTCTTCTGTTTTTTAAAAATCATTTTCAAGTCTGGCTATCCCGGGAAGATAGACAGCTACCACAGGAGACCCAGCCTCCTTTATGCCTTTTACCTGCTCACAAGTCAGATTTTGTATGTTGCCTTGACTGCAGAATCTAAGTTGCATTTTTCTTTACTTGGTGTTGTGTTGTTTGACAGGGCTGTGGAATAATGGGACACTTTGTGGGCTTTTGGCTTCCGTATGCATCTCTCTCATGTGAGCATTCCACCACATGTGTCCATATGCCTCATAAACTTCCTTTTTCTTTTAATATCCCAGATCAGAATAGGTGCCCTCATCCAAATTGCCCATCTTTCTTTTGTGCATTGGGTAGACCAATATATATATCTCCCCATCCTACTTGATCTAGGGAGGTTTTCTAGGGTATAATTTGGATTCCCCTGATTTAGTCTGTCAAGACAGTGGACAATGTAAAAGTTACGCATTTTGATTCTGTTGACCCGCACTTTAAAGCTTTTTGTTCGCATTCAAAACCAGCGGCTTCTGAACAAGAAATTACAACAGCTTTGTCTTTGCTTGGCCCAGAGGTGGGTGAAACTATTAAGGGGGACATCTGAGATTAAGTGTCAGTGTTGCTAAGCGTGGCATTCACAATACTGGCACTATAAAGAAAATAATAATAACTTATTGGACAGTTTTTCTACTGCCATTCAATTTGATGTGAGTGCCTTGAAAACTGATCTTCCTATTTGAGTCTCTTGAGACAAATGCAAACATTTTTGTGAAATGAAAAGACTTTTAAAAAAATGGTAGAACAAGAAAAGTACGTTCTTTTAGGGTTAAAACAAAACAAAACAAAAGAGCCACATTTACTTAAAAAAAAAAAAAAATCCTGGTTGAAGATAGTGGACATGAAAATGCCATAAGACCCAATCAAATGAAGATGTATATCCAGCACAACTTCGGACATCAATTTGCTGAATTGTTCTCAGCCTCTCTCTTTTTTTTCAGGACAACGCTGCTTAGGAAATGGAATGGAAATGATTTACTGCTGAATTAAAACTCAAATGACACAAATTGCAAGTTGTTATCATTGAATGAAAAAAAATTCAGGAACAACGGCTAATTTTTTAAAAAGTTAAATTTAGTGCACTCTGTCTTAAAATACGTTTACAGTATTGAATACATACAAGGGTAAAAAAAAATTGTGTGTATGTGTGTTTGAGCAATCTCTCTTCTTCTTTTTTTCAAAGTTTGCTTAATAGGTTATTAAAAATGCCATAATGGCCATGTGTATATTGTTTTCTTTTGGTGACGGGGTTTTAGTATATATTATATATATTAAAATTTCTTGATTACTGTAAAAGTGGACCAGTATTTGTAATAATGGAGAATGCCTGGGCATTTTACAAAACCAGAAAGAAAAAAAAAACTTTTCTCTTTTTTCCTTGAAAATGTTGCAGTAAAATTTAAATGGTGGGTCTATAAATTTGTTCTTGTCACTGTAACTGTAAAGTCTGAGTTTTAGTAATTTTTTTTTTCTGCCTTGGGTGTTGAATTTTTATTTCAAGAAAAAATGTATAGAAACTTGTATTTGGGGATTAAAAGGTGACTGCTACACCATGTAGAAAAAGTATGTAGGAAAAAAGTGCTTAATATTGTTATTGCTTTGCAGATTAAAAAAAAAAAATCACATTTCTGACCTGTACCTATTTTTATCTCTCTCCCCCCCCTCCCCTGCCCCTATATCCCCCTCTTCTGGAATGGATATTGATATTGGTTAATTCATATAATGTAGGCACTTGCTGTATTTTTACTGGAACTTGTAATTTTTTAACTGTACGCTTGTCCTTTTAAAGGGATTTAATGTACTTTTTTGTTAGTGAATTTGGAAATAAAAATAAAAACAAACAAACAGGCTGCCATAATATATTTTTTTAATTTGGCAGGATAAAATAGTGCAAAAAAAATAAATAATAATTGTATGTCAAGACCTTATTGTACAGAAGAAGGAAGAAAAATAAAAATAAAAGGGTTGTTTAACGACCTGTTGAGTAAAAGAAACAAAACAATTATTATTTTTAATTATGTGGTTTTTGGGGTTCCTTTTTTTCTCTTCGGAAGGGGCGGGGTGTCAGGTTTTGTTTCGTTTATGAGTTGTTCTGTTCGCAATTTTAGTTGTGTGTATGTATATGTATTTTTTTTTCTGTCAGAAATGGCCTACAAAAAAAAAGAAAAGAAAAGAAAGGAAGAAGCACTGTTCATACAGGGCAGTAATGACTTTGAAACTGCCTGGACCCCTTGTATCAAGGCCTTTCCAGGTAGAGTTGAACTAGGATGGCTGGCTGTTGCCTGTTATTGTTAAATGAAACTCAGTTTTTGTGAAGATGTTTGATGTAACATTCCACAGATGCCCCCCGCTTTTTTTTAGAGTCGGGGAAGCGGCTTTTGCCTGGCACACGTAGACTTTCCGGCCCCTGTCCATAAAACTGCAGGGTGTGTGTGCTTAAGATACCCGGTGCTACTGGTTTTGACATCACTGGCACCTACCGTGGGATGAAGGGGCATGTTTGCAGTCAGGGTACCCACCATCACTGGATAGGCACTGTTAATCCTCACTGCACCAACTATCTGCCAGGGCAATGTGCATCTGGACCTTCGCCCAATTGATCCTGCAGGGGTGTGGGGCCTGATCCCAGGGCCCTTGCCAGATCAGGGCACCCATCCATTACCACCTCTTCATAGCCTTCATCTGAAGCGGTTTGAAAAGAGGTAGGGGGAAGGAAGGGAGACCAAACACTCTGTTGGTGCAACTGTGAATTGGGTCGGAGTGAAAAATTTGGCCTGGGCGCATCCCACTTCTATCCCACCTTCCCTCTCCACGCCCCAATCCCTGTCAGAACAGGACCATGTACAGGTTTTGCCAGTCTGCTCTTTTGTCTGCTTGCGTTGCTGTTGACTCCTAATTATACATTCCATAAATTTCTTAAATATCTGAAGGACTGGGATGAAATTCTGTGCCTTTAGGTTGACAAACACTCCTCCCTAGGATTGCTTTGTTAAGTCCCAATAATTAGGATTATGCCATGAGTTGAGCGTTATTTTTTAATCTTTATTTTGTTTCTGCTGTTTCAGTTTTTAAAAAATAATAATTGGGGGGGGGGACGGGGCAAGGCACCGTGCTAGGGACTATTTTAAGGTAAGGGAGAGCAAACTCGAGGAGCCATTAGCAGTGTGTGAAGAAATAGCAGTGGGGGGGGGGAAGGGGGGGACACACGTGATTATGAAGTCACGGAGCCATCACAATGCCAAGGGCGCGTTGGGTTGTAGAACTGGCCTAGCCATTCCTCCTTATAGCTCTTCAGAATTAGGGATAAGGTTACGCTAAGACCTTATTGTGGAGCCACCTTATATATGAACACCAGAGAACTTGGAAAACCCATCTTCTTACAGAAATATTTCATAGTATCCTACAACACGCACACCCCTTCCCCTACGCTGGAGTACATCCTGGAGTATTATTCAGAGATATTTTTGGTGAAAACCAGGCATAGGGCATTTTATATATATATATCCCTAGGTGCCTTGCTTTCTCCGAAACTAAATCCACAGCGAAGTGAATTCAGATTTCATTTTGAAACTGTGAGCACGACACTTTTCCTCCTGGATGAACTCAGATTTAAACCACCAGCAGCTGTCTTATTATGTGTCTTGAATCGATGAGAAACCAACATACAAGCACAAACATTGTGTTTCGTGAAACCATGGTGACCCCACCTCCTCCTCCCTGCTTTTAAGAATCCCTGCTTCACAAGGCCATAAGCACAATATGGCCGACATGCCACGGGTATCTCTTCTGTCGTGATTATTTTTTACACTGCTAATATCAGCAATGTTAACTGTGTTAAGTAACAATTATCCCATGCAGCACACGCCTGCTCCGCTTAAAATCGATGCACAAAGAGCATTTCTGGAGCAACGGCCCTCCTTTTTTTTAGAATGTGGACGTTCAAAATAGAGTCGTGCCCTTCAGCATTTCATCCTAGTCCTGATTAAATACAGTCCAAGGGGTTATTTTGTTTTTGTTTTTCACAGGCAAACTCATTTTATGGTGCTCTTTGTATTTTAGAACTGCAAAGCAAAGTAACGTTGATTTCAGTTGTTTGCATTTGTATCGGCAAGGCAAACTATTTTTATTACCTTTTTCTATTACTTATTGTATGAGCTTTCATTGTTTACTTGGAGGTTTTGTCTTTTACTACAAGTTTGGAACTATTTATTATTGCTTGGTATTTGTGCTCCATTAAAAAAAAAAAGAAAGAAAGAAAGAAAGATAGGAGCACTTTTTTTTATTATGGGTAAAATGTTGAGATGGCAGGAGGTCATTTCAATATCACTTAGTGAAATATTTATTGTTCCTTTTATTCTCTGTACAAGACTCCTGACCTCTCCCCCATCCCACCCCACTTGTCACATTGTTGAGTTCAGCATGTGTCTACCATTTCATTTGTACTCTCGTTCAAAACAACGTTTGTTCCAGTTTCAAGTTATAAAAAAAAATAATAATAAATTGGACATTTGACTTGATCTCCAAATATTGTCTTTACTGCTTATTTGAAATTGGAGCTAAGGTGGATGGCAAGTTTAGTTTTTTGTTTTTTTTAAGGCACAGATTTGGGGGTGGAGAAACTTTGTCCTAAGGTGGCTAGACACATTATATTGTTCCAACAAGGATGCAGAAAGCCCTTGTGTAAAATAAGCACATGACTCAAGGCTTTTCTATAGTTCAAAGAGCCAGCCTAGTTTTCGATGCAACACATTGAGCCCTGTTGTGGTGGACATTTTGTTCAGTCTCATTGCTTCCTAGCACATCTTGTTATCTGACCTTCAGTTACATCTGGTACAGGGGAGCCTTCTGGCACAGAGGAGCCTTTACCACTGGGTATGTGGAGGGGGACAAAGTCAATTCAGTCTGCTTTTAAAGGCAAACTTACCAAAATTAAGTCTGGAACAAAGAGAAACTGAAATTGAAATATTTGGCCGTACCTACCACTAAACAACTGAAGCAGTAGTAAAGCACTCAGCATGGTGGAGGGAGTTCATAAAGTTTTTAGAATAGTAAGCCCACAATTTACATGCATTTAACTTGTGCACATTCAGCTTTCCGTGCTTGGCATAATTATTATTATTTTTAAAAATACAGTTTAATTTCACAATACAATAAAAAATCAACCTAATCTAAACAAGAAATTAAAAAAGGAGATAGAAGCAGTGCTTTTTTCCCCTTAAAAAATGTTTAGGGGTACTCTCATTTTCCTACTCATATTGAAATACTGCCCCTCAATGTGGCCAAACTTAGATTCACAAAATGTTTAGGGGTATGCGTCCCCCCAGAAAAAAGCACTGGTTAGAAGAATACAAATATCTTAACTCGTATCCCATACAGAAAAAGGTGTACCCTCGCAGCTCTCACCTGAGAGCATCCCATTCTTCCCTCAGCCTCTCACCCTGGGATTTCTCCCCTTCCCTATCTCTCATGCAGGGTCCTTCATCTGGCTTGGCAAAAAAACATTAAAAAGGGGGCAGAGGTTCAGAAAAAAATACTTTGGCAATTCCGCCCCACATTGCACCCAATGCGTTATGATTACATGCAATCTGCGGAATGTAACTCCAGCATAAGTTGCAAGTTTGCTGTACTTGGCATATACAGTGGTACCTCTGGTTGTGAACGGAATCCGTTCCAGAGGCCCTTTCGCAACATGAAAAGAGCACGACCTGTGCAGGTGCGTGGCATGATTTGGCGCTTGTGCGCATGTGCAAGCGGCGAAACCCGGGAGTAACCCTTTCTGGTACTTCTGGGTCGCTGCAGGACGTTAACCTGAAAGAATGTAACATGAAGCAAACGAGGTATGACTGTACCTGTGTGCACTGTCCAAAGAAGGTTGAAGCTGTGGGTGCTTAAGGGCCAGAGAGGATGGCTGAGAAGGTCCCTAGACCCAAAAAACTCAAAGACCATCAGGGGAAGAAATAGGAACACAGCATTTCATAATTTTGTGTAAAGAACTGGGAGCTGTTCATTCGTACAAATAGCCCGGACACATTCTGGTATATGATTAATTGCTTGCTATGCTTGCTAAAATGCAGGGATTTGGGGAAGGGGTCAGCTTCCAACATTCAGCCCAGTCATTGCTCTTCCCATTTGGAAGCCTGCTGCAGCTGAAATTCGACTGCTTTATGCTTTCCGAGTTCTTGAGCAATGCAAGTGAATAAGAGTAAAGAGTCAAGCATCATCTACATGCCCCTGCATGCTACCCCCCGCCCCCCTGTGCATCAGCTTAAGACGTAACTAGCACAGGAACACAGGAAGATGCTGCATACTGAGTCAGACCACTGGGCCATTTAGCTCAGTATTACACACTGCCTGAGAGAGTCTTGGACAGGCGCTCTCGCAGCCCTACCTGGAGACACCAGGGATTGAGCCGGGGAGCTTTTACGCACAAAGCTTGTGCTCTGCTCCTCTGAGCTCAAGGTCCTTCCCTGAGCAAAACATCAGCATATGGTGATAATACTTTCTAAACAAGGAGAGATGTAAATGAGGCTGCACTCCACTTTCTCCATGCCTAAGCACCAATATACATTCTGGAAGAGACGTGCAATGAGAACGGAGTCAGCATTTGATTCAAAATTGATTCTAACAACCATCAGGTGTGTGCTGGCTTCTTGAAATCAGGGATCACATCCTGTTCTTGGTCAGCTGCTTGTATACAGCTGTCAGGAAACACTCGTCTTTGCAAAACACCAAAATGTGAGGTGGGAGATAACACATGCAAGGCTGTCATATGCAAGGCTTGTAGCTGTGCTAGTTGATGAAATTATTGTTGGGACATGGGGCTGCCTGACCCACAGATTTCAGCTAGTGTATTTACTTATGCAAGTTTTGCAGTATCTCAACATCCTGTAAAACAAGGAAGGGCCATAGCCCAATGGTAGAGCATACCATTTGCATCCAGAAGTTTTCCGGCTGAATCACCAATGGCTCCAAGTAGGGCTGGGGAGAACGGTCACCCTCAAACGTTGGACAGCCACTGTCAGTAAGTGTCAACAGTGCCAAACTTGATGGACCATTGATCTGAAGCTTCCTGTATTCCTAGGAAACCAATTGCTGCAAAGACGCAATGTCATGCCAATGTTGTGGGATGAGTTTCAAAGTAGGAGCCAAATGTGGAAAGTGGCAAACTCTGGAAACTCAATACGTACACATTTCCTCTCTCTTGCACACATTCACACAAACAGATCCCTCGCATCAGGCAACACCTTCTCACCACTACTTCCCTGCTCAATCTGGGTATTTTCCTAAAAGAGGTGCACTGGAACTCTACATCCTCTAGTAGAGAACCAGATAGGGATCTATCCTAGGCAGGAATATACGTTTTTCATCCCACCAGCACTTATTCCTTCTAACCACCACTCTAAAGGTAAAGGAACCCCTGACTATTAAGTCCAGTCACGGACGACTCTGGGGTTGCGCCGCTCATCTCGCTTTACTGGCCGAGGGAGCCAATGTTTGTCTGCAGTTTTTCTGGGTCATGTGGCCAGCATGACTAAGCCGCTTCTGGCGAAACCAGAGCAGTGCACAGAAACACCGTTTACCTTCCCACTGGAGTGGTACCTATTTATCTACTCACACTTGATGTGCTTTCAAACTGCTAAGTTGGCAGGAGCAGGGACCGAGCAATGGGAGCTCACTCCGTCACGGGGATTCGAACCACCGACCTTCTGATTGGCAAGCCCTAGGCTCTGTGGTTTAGACCACAGCACCACCTGCGCCACTCTAGCAAGGGTTAATAGCGGACTCAATTGAAACTTATTTGGGTTGCAAATCCTTAACCTTCTACCCTCCTTGGTAAAAACACCTCTCTCCACCTACCCCTGCAGCCACATGAAAGGCTGGGCAAGGATTTATTCGACCATTACTGAAAGGCTGGGACCATGGCAAGAGTTGATGCTTTGCATACTGAAGATCCCAGCTTCATCCCCCAGGATCTTCAGTTAAAAGCATTTCTGATTATTGGGGTGGGGGGTGGGGGATGGAGGGACTCTGATGTGATCTGGAGACTCCTTGCTAGTCAAATTCTGGGAGGTGCGAGGGTAGACCTTCACTGGAATTAGAGGGAAATGGTTATCTCGGTGTCAATGAACACACAGATTTCCATCTTCCTGAGGGATAGACCCAATTATGAACATGTGGATGCGACTTCTTCACTTGCCTGTGATGGAGGCTGGATTAATCTTGAAATGATGGACTGGGGGATGGGCGGTCATAACTGCATCACAGACAGCAAGGTAACACTGACCCATCTGACTTGCAGCATCACCTGCTGCTTCCCCTTCTTTTGCCTTAGGAGAACAATTCACATCTAGCTTTCCCAAGCAGGTGGCTATTGCACTCATGCCCTGCTTGTAGGCTTCCCATCATAGGAACAAAATGCTGGACTAGACATGTCTTTGGTCTGAGCCAGTCGGTGCCTAATAAGCCCTCTTTCTCTCTAAGTGGGAGAATTACCTCCGCACTGCCACCAAACACCTGCAGATACCGGGAAGAACAAGAGGAACTTCCACTTTATGAGGTCGGTTTCGTAGGAGAGCAGAAGTCTTCACTGAGCTTTCTCTCTGGGGTGCAGCTGCCCTTTCAGCTCCTGTCTGGTGCTTGATCTTTTCCACTGGTGCAATGCTGGGCATGTTCATTAATGTCTGAAACCAAAATGGTATCATTGAGAATCTGGGGGGAAACTCTTTTTCCTTGGAAGAACAGTTCCACCACGATCACTGCACAGTCAGCCTTCTCTTCTTCTTCTTCTCTGCCAACCTTCTGAGCTTGACAAGGTCAAATCAGCCCCCAAAGAACTTTCTTTATTTGCTCATGCATAAAGAATGGAAAGTTCAAAAACAGAATATTGATCATGAATGCTAGTATTTGGCGAGTTAGTTCACAAGCACACCATTCCATACATATGGTGGGGCCCTGGCTAAATCACCACAGCACATGTGATAAAACTGGATCACAGGGATCAGGCAGGCACATGTAGGGGTGTAACTGATAAAATAAATGCACAGTGTTTCCACTTAATGCATAAAATTATTAGAATGCTTAGTATGTGAACTGGTCCTGGTGGAAAAGTTTGCTTAGCTATTCTGTTTTATTTCTATTTTATCCTATGAAAACTTGCATATTCCTTTCTTAACAGAAGCCAGTCCCATAAAAATCACAACAATATTCCTTGCCAGATATGGAAGAGATATTGCAGAACAATTCGGGAAACATATTTTGAATTCAAAAATCACACACATTCATGCCACAAGTATGATTCGGATTTGAGTAGGAAACTCAGCCATGCTGTGCAGCCCACATAGCTAAGAGAATAGAACGTATGCCACTTGTATTAATTCTTTATTAAAACACACATTTGTGGACAATTTTCCAGGGTGGTGGTGGTGGAAAGGAATGGTGATTTCTTATGAATTATTCTACCAGCTTTGCTAAATAGTGACCTTTAGTTACCAAATGACACCGTGTGTTCTATTTTTCTGACAGATGACAGCCTATTCTGTCCTGAAAAAGATTCTACATGTTGAAGATGATAAAGAGCTTAGAGTTCATACTATGCATCCCCACAATCAAAGGAAGGCTGTTTCTATGCAGTATATTTCCTAGATGTTAACTTTATGCAGATAGGGTTGAGCATATTTCCACTACACTGTGGAAGTGTAAAAATATAGGATCATTAAAACGATGGGTGACCCTATTCTGTTTCCTATCAACGCAAGTGGTGATAAAGGAGTCTCTTCTTGTAAAAGATGCAAAGGGGCTTGCAGAGAAATTGGAGCCATTGAACCTACATCTGGAACGATATGTAAGGAAGCAGAACACCTTTATGACACAATGCAAAAATAGGTAAAGCAGACAGTAGTAGCTAAGGACCAGGTGTGATTTCAACAGTTCCATTTGTCCAAATGTACAAAGTGGGGGTAGGGTGGGGGTTTCCAAATATTTAAACAAAAGGGGCATGAATACAGAATCATCCCCTTGGCTTGCCTCTCTAGAACCTTCTCTCCAAGTAGTCCCAACCTGCACTTTGCTATCAAAGCCCAGCTGAGGATTCATTTATTTAATTACTCTTAATACCCTGCCTTTACTCTAAGGAACTTTAGCTTCTCCCCACCACCTCCCCATAGTTTCCTGGGAGTAAACTCCATTAAAACTCAGTGCTGGTGCCTTACTTCTGATTGCATAGATTTCATTTGTAGAGCACATTGAATGTTAACAAAAGACCTCCAGCAACTTTTCACTTTCAATTTCAAATGCAAACCATTTTGCAAAACAAGTGTTACTATATAAACTATTAGTGTAAAGTAGGGACGCCAACAAAGGAAAGTAGTAAACTCAAGTTTTTTTTTGTTTTTTTAAAAAATAAGTATTATTTTGCAATACATTGTTGCTGTCTTTTATATTTCCTTTTTCTTTTTTTCCAGGGGTTATTTGTTGTCTACTAGCTAGGCCTAGTACCTGACATTGTTTCCCAGAAGCCACCAGATCAGCATAACAGAACCCAGTGGCTGCAGCTGTAATACATTGGACAAACAGTAATTTGTCTATGAATTCAGACCTTTCGATGATACATCCGGTTTCCTCTACATGTGCTAAACTAAACTCAGTTCACAGTGATTTCTATTATTATTATTACAAAAAGTGAACGGTCTTTATGATATTCTACAATAAATGTTGCAAAGGAGTGGTGTCTATGTTTTCTGAAGCTACAAGACCCATGGCTACAGCATTTCTCTCTGTCCTATGTCTATATCTGTAAGAACATAAGAATACCTGGCTAGATCAGGCCAATGGCCCATTTAGTCTGGCATGCTGTTCTCACAGTGGCCAAACTGCCTGCTGGAAACCCACAAGCAGGACCTGAGCCCAAGAGGACTCTTCCCCTTCTGCACTGGTTTCCAGAAGCATACTGTGGGCAGAACATAGCCAATCATGGCTAGTAGCCATTGGTAGCTTTCTATTTATCTATATCCATTGGTAGCTTTCTACTTATCTATATTTCAGCCGGAGCTCACTGGAGCTCAGTTCTGGCACCTCTCAGGTGGGTGCCATTGCCGTTCTAAGAGAACAAGGGAGAAGTTAATGGTGAGCTCCAGTACCACTTTTTCTAGAAAAATAGCACTGTCTATATCCATCTACAGTCATACCTCGGGTCAAAGACGCTTCAGGTTGCGTTTCTTTCGGGTTATGGATCCACCGAAACCCGGAAGTACCGGAACGGGTTACTTCCGGGTTTTGGGGGGTCACGCATGCGCAGAAGCACTAAATCGCACTTTACGCATACGCAGAAGTGCTGAATCGCAACCCGCGCATGCGCAGACGCGCCTCTGTGGGTTGCGAACATGCATCCCGCACGGATCACATTCGCAACCTGAGCATCCACTGTATCTGTCCTAAGAATCATGGACAACAAAAGAGGTTTAAAGAGGTTCAAAGACTCTCTCAAGGCAAATCTTTTAAAAAAATGTAGTATAAACACCGACAACTGAGAACCCCTGGCCTGCGAGCACTCCGATTGGAGAACAGCCTTTACCAAAGGTGCCATGGGTTTTGAAGACGCTCAAACTCAGGACGCAAAGGAGAAATGTGCTAAGAGGAAGGCAAGCTTGGCAAACCCTCACCATGATCAATTCCCACCCAGAAACCTATGTCCCCACTGTGGAAGGATGTGTGGACCCAGAATTGGCCTCCACAGTCACTTACGGACTCACGGTTAAAACCGTATTTATGGAAGACAATCTTGCTCGGCTATGAGTGATTGCCAAAGAAGAAAAAGAAGAAGAAGATCCTAAGAATCTCTGAGAGGTGATAACTGATTGAGCAATAACTATTCATATCTACTCAGAAGAAGAAAAACCTGAAACCATTAAGTTTTACACTCAGGTAAATGCATATAGGATTGATGTCTAAAGATATTATCTATTTATCGTTGTTTCAAGAGAGGAGCGCCTTCCAAGAACATGAGGTGGAGTATATGGTCGGTTCCATTTCTGTTCCTTATCGTTGAGGTTATCAGTATTTATTTATTTTACCCAGCCGTATCTTGGAGTCTTGACATTTTCCATCCAGTGGCTTTTAAGGCTATATGGATTTTAAGAAGTATAATTTATGCCTCTGCCATTTAACAATGCACCTTTTAACCAACGATAAAAAAACTACCTCACGTTTCTTTTGATTTAGCCCTCTTGGCCTAGTTGAGGCGGATCATTTGAGCAAAGTGTGTGTGGCCGGGGTGGGTGAGTGGGGGTGGAGTTGGCAGAGAGCGAGCAAAAAAAGGAAGAGAAAAAAAAAGGTCGTCTGCAGTGGGTATCTCCCGACCAGGGAAGCTACTTTGTCTTAATTACCTCAGGAGGAGAAACTGGCCCTGAAGCAATCATCTTTGTTTGTTAACACACCCTATCGGCTGCACTGCTCCGTATAAATAAAACATGACCAAGATTACAACGTCATGTTCTTGCGGACTCCAGACCCTGGTAACTGCTCAAGTCGAATGCACAAAAGCATCCCAGAGCAATCTGGTGCATATCAGAGGGCATCAAGGAATGCTTTTCATTCCTAAGCAACCGCATGTGAACTGGCTTCTAATATTAAACACAATTGTTTGCTCAAATGCTAAAAAGAAGTGTGTGGAATTCACTTTGTTTTGCCTTTGTCTTGGGTAAGCAGCAAGCCACAGCACAGTGAAGTGACAAGGCATTTAACTTAAAGAATGCTTCCACTCCTCTCTCTCTCTCTCTCTCTCTCTCTCTCTCTCTCTCTCTCTCACCTCCCTACTGACTATTTTTAGTTCCATTCCCCCCACCGCACCCCACCCGGCTTTTTGCTTCCTGCCTGATTTATATTAGCTGAGGATTAGGCCCCGATTTTAATGAGCTCTAAAATGCCTGTTGGAAGCAAACAACAAATCTATCAAATTCAAAATGTGTTGTGTGTGTGTGTGTGTTTCTCTTGGAAAAAAAAGAAGAAGCCCATTCAGCTTTTAAAAGCACATTTTTGGAAGGTTTAGGTTATAACCCCCATCTCCACCCCCATCGTTCAGCCCGGACACTGAGGTCCAGCTCCGAGGGCCTTCTGGCGGTTCCCTCGTTGCAAGAAGTGAGGTGACAGGGAACCAGACAGAGGGCCTTCTCGGTAGTGGCGCCCGCCCTGTGGAATGCCCTCCCTTCAGATGTGAAGGAAATAAGCAGCTATCTTATCTTTAAAAGACATCTGAAGGCAGCCCTGTTTAGGGAAGTTTTTAATATTTAATGCTGTATTGTTTTTAACACTGGATTGGAAGCCGCCCAGAGTGGCTAGGGAAACTCAGCCAGATGGGTGGGGTATAAATAATAAATATTATTATTATTATTATTATTATTATTATTATTATTATTATTATAACAAAATCACTGTTTTTTGATATTTCATGTATCTTCATAGGTATTTGGTCATTTCACTTTCCTAACAGTGAATGCATTCCCTGAGTGTAGATATTTATTGCCCAAGAGGGAAGCATCAGCATGCTTGGGGACGGAAAAAAGTTTTACAGAAGTACAACAAAGTATGCATTACGTTTTAAAAAGGGGACAGGGAACAGTCCATTGAGGACTGAGCAATGTTGAATGGCCATGGAATGTTGGCACGGGACAAAATGGGAAACCAGGGG